TGGAATGTGCGCGTCGCCGCGCCCCCTGCCCGCGCCCGCCAGCTGCGCGTCTCGGCTCCGGGTCCCGGACGTGCCGCGTCGCGTTAGAGAACTCGTCTCCCGGCGCCGGCCTTCCACCCGGGGGTCAGGACTCGCGCTCCAGCGGCCAGGGGTCCCCGCCGCCACGCCGCCCCTCGCGGCGCGCGCAGGTGTGAGCATACGGGGGTTTTGGAGAGGAATTTGCTCTCCTCAAAGCTGGGACCTGGGAGGTCCGTCGGCGTGGGCACCCTCCCTTTCCGTGGCCACGCGTCAGAACTGTCTGGCCTCAGTTTCTCTCCAACGTTCCTCCTTTCTGCCGTACTAGACTGCTGCTGGTCATTGTTCTCGTTGCCCGATGCGGGTGCTTTGTGAAGGCTGCCAAGCCGTGGTGGGCTCTTTTTATCCTGTTATTCAAAGAAAAGGCCTGGAAGGCTGACCCCGGACATCCCACCCCCTGGATCCTCACTTCAGGTTGATGCACTGATTTTTTTTCTTACCAAGTAGTATTTTATTATAAAGGAGCAACGCCCTGGTTTCTTAAAGGCGCCCTGCACTCGGCTTGGCCATGTGTTAACGCCGCAGCTGGTGTGTGGGCGGCCTCCTGTGAGCCACCCATTTTTCCCGCCATCTGATACGCGTCCTCCCACCCCCTTCGAGGATATTTAGGGATGCCAGTGGGAAAGAAGGTGACCACAGGTGGCAGCAGCAGTGCTGCCCCGACTGCCGCTGCCACAGCCACAGCCACCAGCGCTGCCCCTTCTGGGGTCAAGCGCTTGGAGACCAGTGAAGGGGCTTCAGCCCAGAGAGACGATGAGCCAGAGGAGGAAGGGGAAGAGGACCTGCGAGATGGAGGCGTCCCTTTCTTCGTCAACCGGGGTGGGCTCCCCATCGATGAGGCCACCTGGGAACGGATGTGGAAGCACGTCGCCAAGATCCACCCCGATGGAGAGAAGGTGGCGCAGCGGATCCGTGGAGCCACGGACCTGCCCAAGGTAAGGTGTGGGGTGAGGCAGGGGCATAAGCCACAGGATGAACTGGTGACCTTGGGACTAAGAGAGCAGACACTCTTCCTGTGGTGGATGGGGTAGGAGACCACTGATACCCTAAGATTTAGAGAGACAGACAGGTTACACTTGCTCAGAACCTGCGGCTGTTGAGGTCAGGCGATAAGAGAGGCTTTTCTGGGCCCGTATCCAGGAGGCGCTCCCCCATGACTTTATGGGCACCACCACAGACAGAATGAAAAACTCACAAGTGTGACTTGGCATCCTCTGGCTGATAACTTGCTAAGCCAGAAGACTAAGAAGACAAATGACTGAGGAGATACAGGGCTTTGTATGGTGAGAAAATATTTTCATGCGTTACCTTACTGAATGCTCCCCACCGTCTGGAAGTGCAGTTTGGACCCCCACTTTACAAATGAGAAAGGTCAAAACGCAAGTAGGGAAGTCAGAAGTTCCACAGCCTATAAGTGGCAGAGTTGGGGCCCATGGCCCAGTCTTTAGGCCCCAGCTCCACTGCTTTGTTGGACCCTAGATTCAGGGAAATTAAAAGTAAAGAAGAAAAAGAAACACAGAAGAGCAGAGTTAAATACTTTTCCCCATTGGTTGTTGCCATGTTGGTTATAACTTCTCCAGGACAGCAGCCCTTCAGTTGTGTGGCCAGTGAAGGCAGAGGCCGTGTCTCATTCATCTTTGTCCCCAAGGTCTGTGTGCCTGGCACAGATCAGGCACGGATGTGTGTTTGTTGCATGAAAGGGTGTTTGAGACTTTCTGTGCTATACAGTGCCATATGGAAATACTCGCCTGGTGGATTATTTAAAACATTGTGGGTAAGTCTGAGGAAGCAGCGTCCCGATGCAGAGCCCTTTGGACAGAGGACAGAGCACAGTGCTAGCTCTCACCTGCTCAGGTGAGAAGGGTGGGGGCTGGGGAGAATGGAGCTAGTGTGGCTTGGACATTAGACAAGTGGCCCTTTTTGTTTTTACCTGACTATTGGTAGAGCCATCAGGAAATAGCTCCTGCAAAAAGAAACTCAGAGGTTGAAGGTTGACCTCCTGCCTATATTTCCAGGGTCAATAAATGTAGATTAATTTGAATAGCTGCCTTATTTTTCTCTGTATTGACTTATAATTTATTTAGCTGGTTTCCTACAGTTGGGCACTGTTTCTAATATTCTTAAAATGAACACTGTGCTGAACATTCTAACATACATATTTTCGGATCCAGCTCTGATCCCCCTCCTTGCAGTAAATTCAAGCACCTACCTACCTAGAATGCATGAGGCCCTAGGTTGAGTCCCGGCACTACCAAAACCAAAAGAACAAGGGATGTGAACGTGTTTGAATCACTGCCATATGGGTGACCCTAGATAAGCCCCTTCAGCCTGAGCCACAGTTTTCTCATCTGTAACGTGGGGTTGATTGTGGGGAAGAGTAAAGGAAAAGCCGTATTTTCAAGCAACTGTGAAGCCTCAAGCAACACTGCTTATAGGTGTCCATTACCTTTTCTTCCGTGATGAGGAGGGGAACCTAGCTGTCATCATCTGTGCCATTGAGACCACAGTCACACGCTTGTCCCACATGAGCAAGCCGTCTTACTCATGTCTGAATCAGGCCGTAGAGTAGTGTGGATGGTTTCCTGCAGAACTGTCACCTCTCCTGACGACTAAAAGCATCAGTGAGCTCCCCACCAGCTGGTCAGTAGTGTCCTCTTGTCATCTTCCATCCTCGTGGATGGGAGAGTCACAGATGAAGGAGCGAAGCTGTTTGTAGGGGAGGAGGGAGTTGAGACAGGGGTACGGTAAGGCTTTGTGGCGGGCTTGGAAATTTTGAAACTTCCCCTCCTGAGGCCACGGGAAAAGTGTCTCAGAGAAATCGCATGAGTCTGTGTGAGTTTCCTCCCCTACCTCAGGCCAGAGTGGAGGGAGGCCCTTGGGGTTTGGGCAGTATAAGAGATTGGGGGACCTTGGAGAGAAGCAGCTGTTGGGTGCCAGACTTTGGGCTACCCCTTCCCAAGAGTCCCTGGCACTGGAGCTGACACAGAAGTATTTCTGCAGAGTTGCCCTTGGGGGGACCCAAGAAGGGTTTTGTTGGGACTGTGCAATGTTTTAAAAGACCGCTTGAGCCAAAAGTTAAAATTGGGAGATTTCTCATATAACCAGCCGGAGTATTGGCGTGGTTTCAGAAAATGAGAATATTTGGGAACAGAGAATCTGCAGTCCCACATGGCGGCTGGCAGCTGAGTAGGAGCTGCTCCCCCTCCCCTGGTTTGCCACAGCCCCCGGCATCCAAGCCCCCCTTTCCTATCATGTAACCTGCCTGACCCCTGAGGCAACTGAGTCCAGGCCCCCTGCAGGGCCTAGCATGATAAAAATAGCACTCTGGACTCCACCATAGTTCACATTCTTGCTCTCCCATGACTACTTAAGGGAGATAACACCCTCAGTTTCCTCAGCTGTAAGCATAATGGCAATGCCTACTTAAGAAGATGTTGAACAGAATTAGTGATGTAAGCTAGTGGTGCCTCATAAGGTAAGGATCTGTTAGATGTGTTACATGCCCAGTGCGCAGCAGACGACCCCATGAGCACTTTGGAGGAAGAGCCTCTACAGGGATGATGCCAATATGGCAAAAGGTCACAGTCTGGAAGGACCTGAAAGGCAATGGCTTCTGTTCCTTGCAAAAAATCTTTCCTTGCTCTTTCAAGCTACCACCATCGTTTCAAGGCTAGTCCCCTTACCCAAACCCGCTGCCAAAGGCGTAATGGTGGCTCTGGCCACCGAGGGCCTGCAGGATGGGAATGTGGACCTTGCCTCCAAAATCATCACATTGCTGGGGTCAGTGTGTGCTGACAGCATGTCTATTCTGGAGTAGGTTCTGCTCAACTATAGCGCATCTTGTGGCACATGTCCAGTGCAGGCTCTCCTGCCTTCCCTGGGCCTTCTTCCTGTGCCCAGAGGGACGGCTCCAGTGACAACTGCAGGCTGTCGGGTTCCTGGAGTAAGTGGTCCCCCTTGGCCTTGGTCATGCAGCAGGAGTTGTCTCTGAGATCACTCACTTTCGTGGTACCGTATGTAACCCCACTCCTCAACAGGGAGGAAATTTTAGCTGCCCCTGTTTCAGAGGTGGGAGTTGGAGCCCATCCCAAAGTGGGCCTGGTCATCTGAATGTACAGTCTCTCAAATGCTGTAAGTGAATGAGTGTGCGTGTAAATGAACGTGCTGCAAAAAAAGGTGGACCTCAGTCTGGGGTGAGGTGACACAAGCTTATCCTCAGTGGCAGTGACCCTTAAGGCCCTGCTTGGAAATCCCATAACTTTCATGACTTCCACAGAGCAGCGCTTCCTGGGCCCTTTGGATGGCAGACGACGATGATGTCTCGTGGGGACTGGCTGGCCCTGGCCCAGGCCTGGCTCTGCATGAGCTCAGCAAATGGTTTTGGCCCATAGCTCCCTTCCTGTCTGGCGCTCTTCACAGAGGCTGTGATCATGCTTCTCAAGATCCCTGGATCCCCAATTTATAGGCAGGGATGGTCCTGCCTCCATCTGAGGAGGTCAGGCGATGATGGATATGTGATGCTGGAATTCCTGTCATACCTGTCCCGCCTCCCCACCCGCATATCTTTGACCTAGGGCACCCTTCAAACCCTCCCAGACCCTTGGAGGGCTCTGGGGCCTGTTTGGCACAGGCTGCATAGACAGACAGGGAAAGCCCCCGTCTGTGGGCTTCTCCGTGGGTGGCTGTAAGCAGTGGCACCGTGGAAAGGAGGGGAGTGATGTAAAAGGGGAACTCGTTGCCTCCAGCCCAGGAGTGAGGTCAGCTGCTCCACCCTGCGGTTGCTAGGGACTGCCCAGACAGGAAGGAGAGGACTGTGGGGAGTGACGGCTGTCTGCACAGCTGCCATTCTGGACCAGGGCCCTGTCCTCCTGCATCTCTGCCCTTTGGAGGGAGGTATCTTTCAGACACTGTCTCATGTCCCCCTCCTATCAGCAGCACCCCAGACACAAGTGTGCGCTGATAACTGGTATGTCACTTCCCTTCCTGTCAGAACCAGGGCAGCCATGTAACTGGAAAGGCGGTGTCCTGGGGACTCAGCATCTCCAGCACTGGGTCTACCAACGGAAGGAGGAACATCCGGGTCCTTCCCTCCCTGCTCAGCCCACCCTGAGTTTGCCTGGGGCTCCTTGCTTCCCCTTCCTCTCACAAGCACCCCTATACTTGCAGGCCGACTCTTGGAGGCCTCTGTGTTGCTATGGGAGAGCTCTGTGTGGCCTTAGAGGGCCCTGTGGCAGCCAAGGGACAGTCAGTGGGATCTCTCCAGGGTGTTCTCATAGATGGCTGTTAAGGTGGGCCAGAGGGGAACCCAGAGGGGTGTGCTATGACCCTGGAAGTTTGTGGCTCCCCCAAGGATGTCTGTTCTGAAACCCCAAAGGACCCTAATTGTTGCATTTCTGGGACCTCTAGGCTTAATGATTTGTGAGGGCTCAGCCTTCCTGGCTGCAGAGGAGCCCACACCTGCACAGTGGCCTGCTTACTGGAGACTGCCTGATGGTTGGAGTCGACTGCTCCTCATCTGAGTCCCAGCAGCCTGGCAGCCACAGCCTGTGCCTTCCCACCTGACTCCTCCCCTTTCCCTAGACTCTGGCCTGGTGTTGGAAAGTCCCTTCCAGTGAGGACTGTCTGGTTACCTGTACTGCTTACAGGTAGAGTTGACAGGAATAGCCAGTTTTCAGAAGACCCCCAGGCCTCTATGCCTTTGTGAAACCCCTTCAAAGCCTCCAGGCTCCAGCAGGTGGAGCCGTAGCAAGACTGACCTATCAGAATACATCGCTTTGGCCTGCTGGCATACTCCTTGACAGTTCAGACTGGTGCTTTGGGAAGCCTGGCAAGTCTGCCCATGGTGCTGGGATGGGTAACACTTGCTGCTGAGGACATGTCCACCTTTCTTGGATAGCTCTCAGAGCCCAGGGCACCACCCTGCAAGGATAGGACACAGAGACAGCAAGTTCTAATCTAGCACTGGAACCACAGTGTATTCATCTGTTGTTACTATAATGAAACACCTGAGGCAGCTACTTAGGAAGAAAAGTGGTTTATTTAGCTCAGAGCTTTGGATGCTGAAAGACCACAGTCAGTTCAGCCTCTGGTGAAGGCCTGATGGTGGCAGATGGCATCATGGCTGGAACACAGGCGAGAGAAGGGAGGTCACATCCCTAAGAGGAAGCCAAGGCAAGGAGGAAGGGCCAGGTTTACTCCCTTTATGACAGCCAGGGAACAATTTTCATCTCTTCTGAGGCTCACCCCACATGACCTGGTGGACTCCCACTGAGACCCACGTGTTAAAAGCACCACACTGAGAACCAAGCCCCTAACAAACCACTTCCAAACCACAGCCCAGAGCAAACCCCAAACCCAAATGAACTTAACTCTGATACTGGGATTCTTGGTAAGCCTTGAAGTTAATTAATATTTAAAATTCAAAACAGTTGGTGAGTCAACTTGTGTTTTTCTAAAATTATTAAAGAAGCATAAAGTTGGAGCATCAACATAAGTTCCACGTCAGAAACGCCTGACATCAGGTGCTGGGGGGGCTGGGGCCCTGGCAGAAGGTTCCAGAAGGAAGGGCTGCCAGGGAAAGATGCTCAGGGTAGAAGGGAAGAAAAACTGTTTCCCCCAGGGTAGGCTTCATCCTGTGACTCAAGCCCTTTCTGTGTCCCCAGATTCCCATACCGAGTGTGCCTACTTTCCAGCCGTCTATGCCAGTCCCTGAGCGTCTGGAAGCCGTGCAGCGCTACATCAGGGAGCTGCAGTATCCTCTCTGGTCTGGGGCCGTGTCCTCTGGCTGGCTGGTGTGATGGACCCAAAGGCCAAGTGGGTTCATCTCAGACAAGGTTGGAGAGGAACCAGCCGCACCGCCTCCTCCTGCAACTCCAGAGACGCCATCTTCCCTGAGGCATCTCTGTGTTCCCTGCGGGGATCTTTTCTGGTCCAGCTTCGGGCTTTCCTTCGCCAGCCACCTCCTGCTGCCGTGTGTGACATGTGATGGGGCAGTGGAGGGAAATGGCTCCTGAGCTGGAGGACTGTGGTGGTCACTGTTGTTCCTCCAGCCTCAGCTGAGGGAGTGAGGATGCTGGTTTCATGAAGCTCTGGTTTTAAAGGTAGGGGGAGGACTAGGATATGATGTAGGTCAATGGCGGAGCTCCTGCCAAGCTTGCTTGAAGCCAGTCCTTGGTTTGATACCCAGCACTGCCCCCCCATATAAACGAACAAAAATGGAAGAAAAAGAGGATCTTATGCTCCAGGAGTCAACCTCCACATCTTGGGATTTTCTCCTGGTTCTTCACCTTTTTCTTCCCTAGCAGGAGGCCAGTTGCCCAGCCTGCCAAGAGCTGGTTCCCTGAGTCCAGATTGCCCATGACCCTGCGTAGGGTCCCTCCAGCCCCTGCAGCCCGCCCAGGGCTCTGTGTCCGTGGTCCTCAAATCTCCTGGCTGCAGATGGTGTCCCAGGTGAGAGGACTGGGTGCAGGTCCTGAGTCATGAGAGAGAGGCAGGCTGATGACTAGACAGAGGGCTTGGTCCCTGTCCCCACCAGTGGGGATGCTGTGGAGCAGGGCGGGGAGGGGTGGCTCAGGGGCACCTGACAGGGGTTGAGCCAGACCCCTTCTGCTCCAGCCTCTTTCACTTCCTTTTGCTTCCCCGCTGTTCGGAAATTCCAGGGCTGGCAGCCCTCTCAAAGCCTCCCATGAGAGGGAGGGAGCCCAGGGGAGAGCGATGGGGAGGAAGAGCAGGCACAGTAGCTGTGCCCTCCTTTCCTTCTGGGAGAACCAAGTCTGAAGCACCCTCCACAGTGTCTTACCATAAGCAAGCACTTTGTGAGGCCCTTATCTGGCCTGGACCCCTGGCAGTGCTAGGTCCAGGACAGGGGCAGGGCAGGGGAAAGGGACCCCCTTCTCCAGACCATACCAGGAAGTCCTTAACCAGCGCCTGCAGGTACAATCACACAGGGACGCAGTTCTTTGAAATTAAGAAGAGCAGACCTCTGACAGGGTAAGTATGAAGGGGCATGTCCTGCACCCCAGGCTCACATGCTCCTAGCTGGGTTGGATCCCCCGAGGAGCCCTGTGGTTTGCCTTTGAGTGGGTGCCGAGAAAGCCAGCCAGGGGGGCAGGAACACCTTGAGGCCCTGAGGAGGTCTGTTTACTTACTTACCCCTCTCAAAGCCCTGGGTGGAATCCAGCCTCCCTATCGCCCAAGCTATGTTCCTGTTGTCCAGTTGGTACAGTGTGCTGGGGGTGCACCCCAGCCTCCTCGAGGGTGGAAGAGTCCAGTTACCTTCCTGGGCAAGGCCAGGCCTGGGGTGGCATTTGGTGAGGAGGGAAGAGCCTGGCTTCCAGGACAGGCTGTGTTAAAATGGCCTGAATTCTAAATTCAAAAGCAGACAGGGAGGCCTAATGTCGTGGCTCATGCCTGTAATCCCAGCACTCGGGAGGCTGAGGCAGGAGGATCACTGGGAGTTTGAGGCCAGCTTGGGCTACAAAGTGAGTTCAAAGCTAGCCTGGACTACATAGTGAAGCACTGTCTCAAAAAGACCAAAAAAAAAAAAAAAAGAGGAAAGACTGGAGGTGTCTGCTCGAGGTCCATTTTTATTCAGTCTGCCAGGAAGCAGCTGTAGTCAATAGCAAGGGCTTGGGAAGAGCCATAGTTGGGTCAGGAGTGTCCACTGTGCTCTGAAGGGAAGAGGTCAGTGAAGGGCAGGGTCCCACCACCTCCCCACTGCCACTGGAGAAGGTCCCAGCACAAGGACCTTCTCTTCTCAAGGACCTGCTCCTATGCATGCTCCCCTCCCTGACAAGTCTTTGGGACAGGCAGGAGCCAGGCATGGGTGGAAGTGAAAGAAGGGACAGAGGGAGAGGGGGCTTATCAACAGTGGCTGCCTCTCCCACTCCCTCTGGCTCCAGACTGTGGGCAGCTTGGTGTGGAACTCTGTCCTCCCAACATTTCTGGTCCATCCTGCCCCGTCCTGACATTCCCTCATCGGAAGGGGCCGGAGTTGCTCTCCTTATAGCCCTCACTTTCCCACAGGCTGATGGACCTGGCCAAGGAAATGACCAAAGAGGCTCTGCCAATCAAATGCCTGGAAGCCGTGATCCTGGGAATGTATCCTTTCTCCCAGAGAGGGGGCCTGGCGGCTCCGGCTCTCTAGCCCTCAGCTTCCAGAAGGACTGGGTGGAATCTGGGGCTCTCTAGCTGCCAGCCTGGGGATTCAGTTCCCCCGTAGTCCTCGATTCTTCCTTCCCAGGCTTGCTGGGCAGCTCTTTCTGGAGTCCCGTGGACACAGGGACCTTGTCATAACCCTGAATCGGGGCACAACAGGAGCTGTTGTGCCATTTCCAAGAACCTGATGGAGAAGCAGGCAGGAGGCCCAGAGTTGGTGTGTCCAGGTCGTGTGATTTGTGGAGATGACGCACGGGGTCCTGGAAGCAGAACTGAGGGCTCTTTGCCCTCACATGAGGGCTTCTTTGCCCGCAAGGAGCAGAGGTGGGGCCCACAGCTGGGTCCGCAGGGTCGCCGGAGGGACAGACAAGTCCCCCGGAGGACTGCCTTCCCCTGGACCTGCAGTCAGAACAGCAACAGCACCTCAGCGTCAACCCTACTCTTTTTCTTTAGTTATTTTATCATAATTTGTGTGTGTGTGTGTGTGTGTGTGTGTGTGTGTGTGTGTATGCCGGGGATCGAACCCAGGGCCTTGTGCATGCAAGGCAAGAACTCTACCACTGAGCCACATCCCCAGCCCCTATCATAAAATATTTAAACAATACAGCTGGGACAGTACGATGAAACCCTGTGTACCCAGTACCTAGCTTCACCAGCTGAAAGCCAGTTGCATGTCATCTCTCCCTTCCCATACTGCCATCAGCTTTCAAACCTGGGGCAGGCAGCCCACCTGGCCCAGAGCTCAGAGGAGCAGATCAGGGGGTGGCAAGGAGTAAAGGGAAGGGAGTCTCATGGAACAAGGAGTCTGTTCCTGGGTCAGGTCCCAGGAGGAGAAGGTGAGGGTCAGAGATGAGAAGCACCCCCTCCAGGGCTGTGACCCCTGGTCCCCCTCCCACTTACATCTGCCTTAAATTAGCACACAGTGTCTGCGTGTGGGTGCCCTCTGCCCCCCAGCCCCCATTGCTGCCTCTGTGGTGGCCGTCATCTGCAACACGGCAGGCCCATTCCCAGGAGCTCTGTTCGTAGGGTCCTTTGCTGGTGTAAGCATGGGACCACCTGAGAGCTTCAGGCCACTGCCGTCACCCCTCCGAGGCCGTGCACCAAAATGAGGCTCCCAGCCTCTGACCAAATAGGTGCAGCTTCAGGCAGAAGCCTTGGAGCCCCCAGGCTGTGCAGGGTCATCTGGAGGCTTCTGAGGAAGAAAACAAGAGTGGCCCGCATGTGGGCAAGGGATCTTTCCCAGTGTCCCCACAGCTCCCTTGCTCATTGCACGCACAATGTACTCTGTGTTGCCCTGTCTTCTTTCCACTGCCTGTGCATTTCTTACATACTCGATCCCTGGTCACTGGCAAGGAATGAGGCTTAGTAAGCACTGTAGAATGCGTTTAGTACTGGAGGGGACATGATAAAGTCTCTGAAGGTACAAATGGATCAGACCATCCTGGGCTGGAAGCCTGGCTCTGCTGCTTACTGTGTATTCACCAAGCAAGTGCTAAGCTTCGGATCCTCCTCTGCCGGAGTGGGTAATGGCAGTACCTGTCACAGACGGAGTCATTAGGACAGTTAAGTGAGGTGTGTGCGGAGTACTTAACACAGTCTGCAGGTGGCACGTGCTGCGTGCTTTATCCATGTATCTTCTACCTATGTATTCAGGGATTCTTAGTAACTATTATAAGCCTGGCTCTGTGTTGGGCCCTGGAAAAACATCAAAGAACGTGAGAGCCAAGGTCTCTATCCTGAGAAGGTTTACATTCTAGTGAGGGAGAGAAAATAAGCAGGTAAACAACTCAGTAAAGGGCAGATTGTGCTGAGTGCTGTGGAGGAGCTAGAGGAGCAGAACAGAGTGAACAAGGCTGGCACAGTGGCTTGCTGCTATAATCCCAGCACTATGGAGGCTGAAGCAGGAGGACTGAGGTTAGGGCTGGCTTGGACTACACAGTGAGACCCTGCCTCAGAAATAGCAAAAACAAAACTTAAAAGAGCAAAGTCAGCTAAGCCTGAGGCCTGAAGAGGAGCCAGCCAGGGGAGGAGCACAGTGGCCATAGGTGGCAGCTGTTGCAGAGGGGCTCGGATAGGAGACCAGGCGGCTGGAGAGGGTGAGTAGGCTGAGCAAGTAGTCAGGGAGGTTGGCAGGGGCCTGGGGCCTGGCAGCACTGGCGTCCAGCCGTGGTCGTGAACTTGGTTCTGTTTGAAGGGCAGGGAGCGGACAGTGTGACGGGGAAGGGGGTGGTGGTGAGAGAAGAGACTGAACAGAATTGTCTGCATCTGTGAGGACATCGATGTGTGAAAGAAAGAAAACGTGAGGATATGTCTGTGAGGATGTGTGACTGAGGTGCAGGTGAGTGACAGGAAGGGATGGTGGCAGATGGACAAGGGGGCCGGTCTCAGCCCTGCCTCAACCTCAGACTTCTCACAGTCCTGCAGCTTGGAGCAGGGGACCTTGTTAGCTGCTATTTGGGGAGTCTTGCTTGATGTCACCACCACAGCCACAAGGCACAGGGAGCCCTGTTCCTAAAAGGCCACTTTACTGGACCCTCCTGTAACCAGGCCTGCTGCTAGAGGACAGGGAGTTGGAGATGAGCAAGCCGTGGTGTCTGCACTCAGGAGCTGTGGTTTAGGGTCTTGTTGGGTGCACGCACATCCCACAGTGGTGCCGTTTTACTCCTGGTACCCTGTGCTGGCCCTTCCTTAGCTCAGACTGACCACCAGTTACCTCACCAACAGCATGCCCACCCTGGAACGCTTCCCCATCAGCTTCAAGACCTACTTCTCAGGGAACTACTTCCACCACATTGTGCTGGGGGTGAACTTCGGGGGCCGCTACGGCGCCCTGGGCATGAGCCGGCGCGAGGACCTGATGTACAAGCCACCAGCCTTCCGCACACTCAGCGAGCTCGTGCTGGACTACGAGGCCGCCTACGGTCGCTGCTGGCACGTGCTGAAGAAGGTGAAGCTGGGCCAGTGCGTGTCACATGACCCGCACAGCGTGGAGCAGATTGAGTGGAAGCACTCAGTCCTGGACGTGGAGCGGCTGGGCCGAGAGGACTTCCGCAAAGAACTGGAGCGCCATGCCCGAGACATGCGCCTCAAGGTCAGGATCAGCCAACAAGGTCAAGGGGACTGTCCCTTCCCCTTGAGGTCCTACCTCCCTGATCTCACCCTGTGCCCCACCTAGCAGAGGTGGTGTGAGGATAGAGAACAAGGACTTTGGGAGTTTCCCTTAGCAGTCTTTATTTATTGTTGAGGCCACCCCACAGGTGGGCATTCTGGGGCAGCTCCGGAAGGAGGAAGTGGGTCCCTGGGTTTGCAGGGTGGTGGGTCTCGGGCGGTGGAGAAGGGGTAGTTTATGGTACTCCAGATCAGGGAACTAGAGTGAAGATCAAGTGGTGGGAAATCCTGGCCCATTGTGGGGCAAAGTAGGATGGGGTGGTGCTTCTCTTCTGCTGTTTCTCCTTTGCATCCTGACTCCAACCCAACCTCCAGCTTGCAATAAAGGACCAGGTAGAGGTCAGATGAAGAGGAAAGTTAGACAGTGAGCATGGTGGCTTTTTCCCTCCCCCCACTCACCCCCACAGATTAAATGTCTGTGAATTTGGGAGTTTTGTTGGGCTTAAGGAGCTGGCCTCCAGAGCCTTTGAGCAGACAGAATTTGGGCTCCCTTGGGTCCCTCTGGGCTGGAAGTGCCTTCCATTGCTCAGGTCTGCTACTCTGTGGCCCTGCCCAAGACAGCCGCAGCACATTCCTGTCCCGTTTCTCTCAACAGCCCCAAGAGGCCAGCAGGCAGGTGGTTGGTGGTAGGACCATTTCCAGGGTAGGAAACCAGAGACTCGCTCACAGGCAATGAGAGTCAGATGGGACAGAGCTCAACCTCCTGAGGCTTGTCCCAAGTGCCTGTGGTGTGCCAGGGGGGTTATAAGAACTAGGGATCCGGGCTGGGGATTTAGCTCAGCGGCAAAAGCGCCTGCCTGACAAGCGCAAGGTCGTGAGTTCGGTTCCCGGTACCGGAGAAAAACCAACAACAAAAAAAAAAAAAAAAAAAAAAAGAACTAGGGATCCTTCATCCCTACCAGCCCCCTAGGCCAAACTTTGTGGGCTGACACTAACCTCCCCAGGATAGAAACAGGGTGCAGCAAGCCTGCATTAGCAAAGGGCTGCTCTCTCTTCTGAGTTAGTCCTCCCCATCAGCTCTGGGGCACCCGGTACCCTGGCTCTTGCTGCTGGTAGTTTTGTGTCTCTAAAGCCACAGATTGGATCTGGAGTAGGAACCAACACTTACCTTTTCTTGAGCACTGCCATTCCCAACCTATTCAGCTCTAAGGAGTCCCCATGTCATGTGCGGCCCTCCAGTTCCCCATGGGATAGTCCATGTTTGGGAAACTGAAGCCATGCTGATCGTGTTGCATAGAGGATAACTCATTGTTTTTCTCAGTCAGACCACTCAATCAGTCTGACTTCTCTTTGGCTTAAGATAAGCAGTGCACTCTTGGGGTTGGTAGGATCCCAAAGCTCAGACGTGGGCCACTTGCCCACCTAGCACATGTACCCTGCATGGGTAAGTGAGTCTTTTCTCAGGGGTGTTTTACAGTCTTATAACGGCCCAGTGATTGTGAGGAGCTGCTGGCTGCAGCTTTAGTGCCTGGGGGAAGTAGATTTGGAAAAACTGGGAGAGGGAGCGTATTGCCTGAGGCTTCCTGGCCTGCCCACGGGCGCTTCTAGTGATTGGCGGCTCCCAGCGGCAGGTCTCCAGGCCTCTGGGGCAGCCCTGGAGTGTGCTTTCATTCCTTCCACCCCTAGATTGGCAAAGGAACGGGCCCTCCCTCTCCCACCAAGGACCGGAAGAGGGATGTTTCCTCCCCACAGCGGGCGCAGTCCAGCCCCCACCGCAGGAACAGTCGCAGTGAAAGACGGTGAGCAATGAGATTGCCCCTGGGGTGAGGGGCAGTGAAAGGCTTTCCCCTCTGCTGTCTTCTGGATGCCTCTCTTCAGCTCTCCCTTCTCTCTCCCATCCATCTCTGCTCTGCTCCCCACCAAGGGAAGTGACGTGGGGTGGTAGGTGAAATGTTATGTTGACATTGCCCATAGCGATGCAGTGCCATTTCCCCAAAGCAAACACTTCTTAGCTGGTCCTGACCATCCTGTGCCAGACCAGCAGGCTCCAAATGAAAGTCTGAGGCAGGCAGCAGAATGGGCTATGTGGGAACGGGGATGGGAGTTCTGCAGCAGTTTCCTGGGGAGGGTTTGATCATGACCTGTGGATCTCTGTAGCTACGGGAAATGGCTTTGAACACAGCTTTTGCCCCCAGGCATCTGTGGGTTATGTCTATGTCTAGATGGCAAAAATTGCCATTAAAATATAAGGCCTCTGGCTCTGATTTTGGCTCTTGCTTTAAATATAAATGTCAACCAGGAGCCACCTCTCTGGTATGAATTCAGGGGTACTGAGCAGACCTCTGGCATCAAAGCCTCCATCACTGTTGACTTTGATATAGGAAGTTTTTTTGTCACAGACTCCCCAGGTAGATTTATACTTTAAGCTATTACCTACCACCCGCCGTGGGATTAGTTAACCTCCACCAAGGAACAAGAGCCTCATGAGAGCAGGAACCACATTTGGGAAGCACAGGGTGGCCAGCTTCCAGAAACGCACTGTGTTCATCCTCAGCTGCCAGCCACTTGGAGAAGAGTGCTGGGAGCCAGTCTACCTCCTCCGTCTCCCTGACCCCCCTCCTGTTTGCTCTTCCTGCAGGCCCTCGGGTGAGAAGAAGCCTTCAGAGCCCAAAGCCATGCCAGACCTCAATGGGTACCAGATCCGAGTGTGAGGGTGAAAGCTAGCACCCCCAGCCTCCTGCTTCTAGAGACCAGGACCCACTTGCTGGAACTAGCTGTGCTCGCACTGTTGGGCAGGGTGCGAGGGACCACAGGAAGGGTGTGTGGCAGCTCAGCCTCATGCTGCTCCCCTCCCACTGAGCCAAGGCCCTAACTTTGGGCCAAGAGGCAGTATTTTGCTTGGGGTGTTTAGCAGTGAAGTTTAAGATGTTTGGGGATAAAAAGACACATGGATGTGCTGGTAGCCAGAAGGGCACTGTGTAAAGAACTGAGAGCCATGGGGCTGAGGGAGGACAGCTTGGTACTGCAGCCTTAGCACCTCTCTGGGATTTGAGTGTCCTATGGGCTATTTCTGGGTCCCACCAGCCTGTGGGAGGGTCTGGGGTGGGGGGGTTGAGGTATTTTTCCAATTAGGCAGATGCTCTGGCAGAATCTTGACCCAGGGAAAGGGAAGCAGGGTAGGAATCATCCTGACAAAAGTCTGTGTAGGTCTTAATCAGGAGCTTGGTGCAAGCCTCATCTGCTCAAGAGTAGGGAGACGGCCCAAGCCATGGTAGCCACATAAGCAGTACTGAGCCTGCCTATGCTACAGCCAGCAGGGGGCTGGGCTGTAGAAAAGCTGGGAGAGGACCCTGGGTGAGGGGGTCCCAGATCCCTAACAAGGTCTGCTGGCTCATCCCACTCTTGCCTGTTGCAGCAGCCTAGGGGGCTCCCTGCAGAGGGTTTAGGCTTTGCAGAAAACTGGGTAATGGGGCCAGCACTGGGGGTTGAGCAGACAGAACAGTTTGGGAGCTGTGGCTGGACACAGGATGATGGGGTGGGACCCTCAGGCCTGGGTCTTTCTCCCAGCAGTGCCAGGAGTGTCCCCTGCTGCTTCCTCTTCTAGATACCTCTGCCCGAGACCCACTGCCCTGCATAAGCAACCCATTTAGGATGGGGTTACAGTGAAGGTTAGGCCCACCATGTTTGGCACTTTGGAGCCCTATGGGGGAGAGCTGGAACAAATGGAGTCATTCACGTCCTGCCCATCAGGCAAGAGCTCCCTGGTGGGGGAAAGTGAGAGGATGTAGAGATTGGCAAGCTCAAGGAAAGGTTCTGGGGTTCAGTTAACAGGGACGTGTAGGGCAGGGGTGCAGTGTGGCCACCCCGGAGAACAGAGCCTGAGAACTGGGGATGTAAGTGAGGAAGGGATGTGGAGCGGGGCTAGGATCAGGAGGCCTTGGGAGGAGTGAGTTCCCAGCAGCATAGAAGGCTACTTGTCAGGAAGTGGGAGGATTCAGGTTGAAGGCAGCTGGATGAGGTGGCCATTAAGGGTTTTACTTTACCAGGAGGCTGTGAGTCAGTCAGGACCCTGTCAGTAAGGCTGCAGGGGGACCGGCGGCCTGGATAAGGGACTGGAGGCCTGGATAAGGGACCAGAACTAAGACTGTAAACTCAAATGCCTACAGGGCCCACAAGTGATCAAGAGGTGGGTGGCAGGGCTGGGCGGGGACTGTGGCACACTCAAGAGGGCATACCCCATTAAAGGGGCTGCCATCTCTCAGTTCCAGGCCCTGTGCAGCCAGATTGTCTGGTTTTTCAAAAGCCAAAACTCTGCATTTGTATGAAATCTGACTTTCAAGGGTTGATGATTTATTTTTAAAAATGTGAAAACCCAGTATAGGTAAAAGAATGCCAGTGTGCAATCTGTGGTGTAGAGAGCCTGTGCTGGGAGGAGTCCGCTGCGATGCTGTGTAGCGGAAAGTGACAGTTCTGAGCTCCCCAGAGTCAAGGGGGGTCCCTGGCAGCTGAGGCTCCCAGAGTGGCAGAAATGGTCCAGCTTTCCTCATACCGGGAGATGGCTGGGCCTGGGAGCAGAGGAAGGAGGAAGGACGCCTTTGCTGATGAGAGTGCTTGCAGGGAAGGCACCGGAGGCTGGCAGGCAGCTCCTCAGACCAGCAGCCCTTGGCCCAGAGCCAGGCCCAGTAGGGCTAGCCAGAGCCACCCTGGGAGGCCCGCTGGTCAGTCCCTTATCTCAGCCAGTTTGAGGAGTCAGTGGGCCCTGGGAAGGTACCTAACCTGCCCTGAGGCTGCACCCTGGCCAGAACAATGAGGGTCATGGTGAGCTGAGTCACTATCCCATCTCAGCTTGCAGAGTGGTCCCTTTTCCCACATTTACACAGGACAGATGGCCACCTTCAGAGCTCCTTTCTGGTTCTGGTTCTGGTTCTGGTTCTGGTTGCAGCTGCTCATCCACAGGCAGGCTGTGGGAACTTCCAGGAAGTGACAGGGTATGGAGAGAAACGAGGAGGAGCCAGCAGGTGGAATCAGTGGACATGGAGGCGGCTGTTCCTGGTCCCAGAGCCCCCGGGGCTGCCCTAGGCTCCTGAGCCGTGGGAGAAGGAAGCAGAGTGGAGCCCTAACCCTGCTCGCTGTCTGGGGAGGAAGCTGACCCTCGCTGTAACCCCCGGGCGCTCACCCTTCCTGAGCTGAGACCTCAGGCCTGTGGAGGCCACCACAGGCCACAGCGGTGCTTTTTAATTTATTTTTAACTGTTTCTCATATGTAGCAACCCTCCTCCACTCCTGGGCTGTTTACACGGGCTCTGCTCTCGGGCTGGCCTGGCTGCGAGGTTTCTGGGGAGGCAGAGAGGCAGGGACTTTGGGGCTTTAGTCACCACCCATGGTATCACCTCATCTCACTTCCTGTGAGGGACAGAGGCCTGGCTGATGGGACCCCGCTCCCCGTGACTCGGGACTGCCTTCAAGCTCCTCTTCCCCTGGGGTGGGGACTGCTGGCTGAGTAGGAGTCAAGGTGAGGTCAGAGAAAGCTGCTGGTAGAGGTGGCCAGGGTAGTGGGTATTGCAGGGTCTTGCCAAAGCTTGGCTCCCTGTGCCGGGTGTCGGGGTCAGAACACTGGGAAGCTGGCTCCAGCGAGCCTTCCCCTCTGCCTGACTGCCAGTCCTCTCCCTCCATGGCCTCACACTCATCCGTCATGCCAGCCACCCCATCCTTACACAGGCATGGCCAAGTGTGGAAAGCAGCAGCACTCTGGTCCCTGTGGGCAATGATACAGCGTAGGGCCACGGTACCAAGGAGCACAAAGAGCGCAGAAGTTGACTGATTTCTAGCCCTTTTGTCATCTCAGGCTCTGCTTCTTCCAGCTTGGGCTTGACTTTGGCTCCGGGAGTCAATGAAACTCTAGCTGGTAGAGTGCCCAGAGGCCCACGTGCGTGTATACCTGCTTTCCTGCCTGGGGTGCATACTGGCTTAGCTGCGGCAGCATCACTGGCCTGCCCTCTGCCTTGTGTCCCTGACCGTGGGATGCAGGATGGTCATGCTGCACCCATTTGCTGATGGTGTAAAGGGCAGATGGCATGCTCTGGAGGGGTGGGGGTCTGCTCTGCCAGGTACCACAGCTTCCTACCCGCTTCCCCAGGCAGGCAGGACTGCCACGGTGCTAGCTGCAGGGCCCTCATTGTGACCACCTCGGTGCTCCAGGGTCTCCAGTTGCCTATTTTCAAGTCTGACAAGAGAGGAGAGATCTGGGTGTTCTTGGCCATGGCCTGGTGATGATGGACAACTCCCCCCGACACACAGCTTTGTGTTTGGCTATTGTGTTGTCCTAGACATTTTCCCTGTCCTCATATCAGTATTTGCCCCTCCCTTTCACTCTCACATTTTGTTTCATTCCTGTCCTTACTTTCCCCCTGAATGAATAAAGTCTCTCCAGCTCCAGCTGTGTGGGCTGGACAGAAATCACAACATGAAGCCCTGTCTCCTTTCCCTCGGCAGCTGGGGCCCAAGCCCACCACACCCCGACAGGTGTCAGCCCCACTGGCTGTAAAAAGAACCTGAACAGAGGTGAGCGGAGCCTGAAACCTGTGAACATTCAGGATAGAACATTCTCAGGCTGCCCAGGCCACTCAGGTTTTACTCTACTCTGGGAGCAGATCTCTCTTGGGCCATATTGAGGCTCCTTCCACCTCATACAGAGGTTTGGGCCCCAAGTCTGCCCCTAGGATGTATCAGCAGCCAGGAAACCATAGCAGCAGGGATCTAAAGTCTCTTCTTGTCAGTTCCTGGTCTCTAGCTTTGGAAGACACCTCTGCATCCACCCACAACCCCTTCTCCACTGTCCCTCTTGCTCTGGACCTCTTCTACATGTTGACAAGCCCAAACATTGAAACAAGACTCACACGGGAAGTATCCCTTAAAACCCCAAAATGTTTTTCAGCTCTAACCTTTCTTCCCCATGTTTTTACTCTCCATTCAGCTTAGGAGCAAACCCAGACCTGTAAGATTTCCTATTTTTTATCCCAGCCAACAAATACCCACACACACACTCAAAACCCTAGCCGCAAGTACAGGGTAGTACAACTCATTTTCAGTGGTGTGGTGGGGACTGGGGCTTGGGGAAGGCCTGCAGTGGGGAGGAGGAAAGGCTGGCTGTGGGAATCCATGGACATCCTGACTATGCCATTAAGTAGAGGCAGTTTTGTTGAAGGCTCATTTAAACCCAGCTAAAAACGACACCCCAAAAAGCCTTTCCAGCAAGGTAGCTAGAATTTGTGAATACCTTAGGTTGTACAGCCTTCCATAAAGGGAGCGCTGTCATTTACACATTTAAGCCCAGCTAACAACGAGGGGCCCGGTGGGCAAGTTTTGATGAGACAACCTGCACACGGAGTGCCCTGGGGATACTCCTGAGAGGGAGTGCTGGGGCAAGCCTTTGTGTTTTGAGCCCAGTAGGCTCACTGTGGACACTGCTGGGCCACCCTCTTAGCATGCAGAAGTGTCACTGCAGACTTAGGAGGATCAGAACTAACTTCCTGGGGAGAGGTTTTTTTATTCCCTGCTGCCCCGGTTCTCAGGCTCACAGCAGTGAAGAGCTGAGTCCAGTGTCCAGTTCAGGCACATGAACTGGGGTGTAAATTGGGTTGGACCCTTGGATGCAGACAACACTTCTTCAGAGCCCTGAAGGTGAAGAGACTACACTACCACCCCTATCTGGCAGGACGTGGCATTTTTACTGCTACTGGGAAGCAGTTAAACCCCAAACTAAGCAGATTGGCCCAGACACAGACTGTCTGGTAATCCTTGGGTTTGCCAGTCTGGGGACCAGCTGTTGAGGCCTGGTGGGCGGTGAAGATGGGGCACCTCAGGTCAGCTGGAGTGCTAGCTCTCGAGTCAGCCCACAGAACAATGTGCACAATATATGGATGCCTTCCAGTCCTCAGCCAAAAAGGATTTGGTTATGGGAAAGAAAACCTCCAAGAATCTTAAGTGTGGAGACTTCATTCTCTCCACAGCTGGCTGAGGTCCCAGGCCCTAAGGTCACAGGAACTAACTGGCAGCAGACGGAGGTGCCTTTAAAATTCCTGAAATTCACATTCTCCCCTTGCAGACTAGCCTGCACTCCACCAGGCTCTCACCTGGTTGACCTCTTGTCTGCAACAGTTCAGTTTTGCACCTTTGCTCAGGAGGAGAGAAAAGGACAGGCGGGGGGTGCACCATGGTGTTGGGAAACTAGAGGAGGCGGGCCCTCCTTCCGTGGGAGGAGAGAAGCCCTCCTGTGCATTATGCAAGTGATCAAAAAACCAATCCTGTACTTTGTAGCTACACCAGGGCAGGAACTGGAAAGAAAAACCAAACAAAAACTAGCAGCACCCTAGTTAATTATTTCCCTTCTTTGTCTTCAGCTTAAAGCGGTCTTTGAGGTTCCCTTCCCAGGCTCCTGTCAGGTGCATACGTGTCTTCGCTGATAGATGGCCTGTCTCGATGACTCCCAGAAATGCTGGATTCAGAGATGCTTAGATGTGGGGAGCAGCAGGGCCATGGCTGAGCCAGAGGTGAGCCATGTCAACAAACTGTTGGGACTAGAGCAAGGCCAGTCTGGCAGGTATCTGGCCTTGGTGTTCCTCCCAGTTAACTACAGCACAGATAGCTCTAAAAATGTTGCACTTTCAGTGTTCTCAACAAAACACTGAGAACTTGTATTTTCAGCCCTGTCACATGCTTTCCCCCTTTTTACTATATATAAATAAAGACACAGACCATGCTGGGTTGTGGCTGCCTCTCCATCCAAAAGGTCAGGTGCCACCCTGTCCCAGCTTTCCTTTTTGTTTTTTTTGTTTGTTTTTTTCCAGTACCGGGGATCAAACTCACGACTTTGCACTTGCTGGGCAGGCGCTGTACAGCTTTCCTTTTAATACGTGTCTACTTTTTTCTTAATCTCCCATCTCCCATTACCCCCTCTCAAAACCCTGCCTGGCTGTGTGGGTCGCAGCACTTGGGCTGGCAAGAAATGAAGCAGAGTCAAGATTTCAACTTACCTCTCTGGACTCTTCCTCAGTGCTAACAGTACGATCAGAAGGACAACTGAACTGTCCTCCAGTAGTGCATTCCCTATGTCAATGGAAGTGGAAGCGCTGAGTAAACAGCTCACACAAGTGTTGTGCCCATATCAAATGACTGACTGGAGTCTCCCATACCAGGAAGGGGCTATACCTCAAAGCTTGGAGCTTTCAAATACTTCCAAGCCCAAGAGCCAAATCCAGCCAAGGTGGGCAGAAGTATCTACCCTCCAACATAGTGAAGGCAAACCTATGGCGTATGTGTTGCAGCCACTGTTTGTAATCATTGAAAGCTCTAAAAGATTTGCTATCACCACCCTAACATCTACTGTAATTCTCTGGAATTCTTAGCATCCTTTTTTTGCTACAGCACTAACAAAGCAGATCTGAAAATTCCTTAAAAGTAGCAATGAGTATTACTTTAATTTCCATTTCACCAAGGGATGTAAACTGAAACGCAGAAGGAAAAAGTAATTCACCTATAGTCACCAACCAACCTGAACAAGATTATGAATGGTGTTCCTAATCCTTGGCTAAATTTTCTATGAAATCAATGGATCCCAACCGAGGCAGTACATCAGAAACACCAGACGGTTTTAAAATAACTTGGGTCAAATGACTTGAGAATGACTCCAAGGTCAAATATGGGGTCTAAGAATCTGTTCAGGTAAGGCAGAAAACTACACGTGGTTTCACCTTGCTTGAGTTTATTGCACAGGGAGGCTGGAGAAAGACAAAAGTACCAGCAGCAGTGGGCCTGGCAAAGAGGAGAAATGCTTCCAGGGACAGATGGCCCATAGAGATCATCAGAAATACACACTCAGCAAGAGGCATCTGCCACATGCATCTTGCCTCATGCAGCTGCCATAGCTTTGACCAGGAAAACACACATCTTATCCCACTTTCCAAATAGACTCTCGTAAGATGTGGTAAGGGTCACAGGGAGGCCTGGGGGCAGCATATGGAAAAAAGAACAAATGCAAGCAGGTTACAGCCATTCTCCTCTCACGTGGTGGGGTCAGAGAAAGAAGTGGTACCCCAGAAAAGTCATGGCAAGAGGATTCACTCGAGTCCTGTTCCTCCCAGGCCTAGAGTGTGGGAGGTTAACAGCAGCAGATTATAGTAGATTTAGATCTTGAGACCCACCCCAAAGTCCAGAGCTCCTCAGTTCTGCCTCTCTTCCCATCTCATCTTGAAGGCCCTTCTCAAAATCCCAGCCTCTTCAAGATCCTAATGAAAAGACCAACAATGAGGAGAAAAGGTAAACCTTTATTTGGAAAAAGTTGCCCCAGTTCTACAGACTGCAGAGTGCAGCTTAAATGACCATTTAAAACTCCTATTTCATTTCTAAAACAGAAACAAATAAAACAAGGAAAAATCAAGGTCTGGCCCCTGCCATCTTTGGCTGTTTTTCACCCTGCATTTGTGACAGAAGAGACCAGTGGTGTGCCCTCGCCTTAGGGACCAACAGAACACTGTCTTGAGGCCATCTCAGGAGGTGCCCAAGGACAGAGAGGGAGAGGCAAAGTGAACAGTGGGGTATGGTCTGACAGGCCTGGGGCTCAGACAGGCACATGCCAGGACCCAGGAAACAAAGCTACAAAATATACACACATAGAAAAAAGAAATCCCCCAAAACCTAGGCATGGAAAGCTGACAACCAGGAATGCACAATTCAAGTTGGGTCTTTGGCTTTGAAAAAAAAGGAAAGACTATTAAACTCTAGCCCACTGTCCTTAACTTCCGCCTCCTGGCCATTCCGTTCAGTCTCCTCTGAGGGCTGAATGGGGGAACAGCAAGGCAAACTGACAAGGGCCAGCAGCTACTCTGAGTTAAGGGAGACGACGGAAGTGCTGACCACGAACAGCCCAGGCCACCTCCCAGCAATGAAAGAGTAAGGCATGCAGGCAACATGGTATGGGCTAGGGAGTCTGAGTGGGCCAGGGTACTGTGCTAGGGGAGGGAAACAGAGGCAACAACCACCAAGACCTTGCTGGTTAGAGTAAGTCCTCAAGCACTGCCACCTACAGTTCTTGTACTAGTTTTACCCAAAACCGCCATTTTGATGGGACAGTGTGGCTTAAGCTACATAGCGAGATTTTCTACAGAACATGGAAGAGGTTGGGGAGGAGGGAGGGAGGTGGCAAAAAGTAAGAAGTGGTAGAGGAAAGAACAGAAAACTGCTTCTTAGGGTGCACAGGAGAGACAGCAAGCCTCTTAGTTTCTGAGTCCTACCTGAGGCAGCTGCAGAGCCTATCCGCTCTCCCCTACCAGGACTCAACCTTACTCAGTGCCACAGCGTCCAGTGAGACAAGCTTCCTAAAGATTCTTTCATTCACCATAGTCCTAGCCCACTGGATCTGACACAGGCTCCAAACTTTTGCCTCCCTCAGGGACACCTGGGGAAAAGGATAAGCCAGGACTGTGGGGAGCTCTAGGATAGAGGCAAGAGCCCACGGAGCAGGTAGTGCACCCCACATCCAGTCTCCAGGCTGTGAGACCCATTAGTTCCCAGAACCCAGATAACAAGTATGCCCTGGTTGGCAGGATGAATGACTGGTGGAACACAAAGGTAAAGGAAAAGAAGGGCCCCTGCCCTGCTGCCGGCTGGCAACATATGGCCATAGAGCCATGCTCTTAACCTCCCCTGGCCCACAGCCTGTGTGGAAAGTGGCAGGCAGCCCCAGCCCAAGAGGATGCACATCTCATGTGCATGCCTAGCAAAAGGGCTGGGCCCAGAGGTCATGAAGACGGGAAAAGTTGGGTCAGAAGGTACCCCCAAAGAAACAGCCTGAAAGCAAATAACCAATAAGATCAAAAGCTCCCAAACCCTGGTAATTAAAAGTTAAAGAAGAGCACTGAGTACATGAAGGGAAGAGGGAACCCTTGCTTTTGCCTCTCCCAGGGCCACTGAGTACATGGCACAGGATCAGGGAGTGGCTGGGGCAGGGCAGGGACCAGAAGTGAGAACGTGGACAGGCTGGAGGGAATGAGAAGAGGGACATGAGTTTCCACAGCACAGGGCATTTCCACAGTCACTGATCCAAGGAATTCTTCCAGAAGAGGAGCTCTCTCCCCTGGGCTGTCACGGGGCGGTGACTTCCATGCTGAAGCTGGCTAGCAGGCAGAGATGGTCTGAAGAGCAGAAGGGGTTAGGCAAGCCATTGGCAGCCCAGAGAATCTCTTCAGAGAGGAGAGAGAGACGGCCCAGCAGTTTGAGAGTTCCATCTCGAACCAGCCTGTCATCTGGGGCACAAAGCAGAAACCAATGGGCAGAAGAGCCCCAGCCACACTGCCCAGTGGCAGAGCAGGCCCTCTGGGGACCACACCTTCTATACCCCATGTCCCATTGGCTGCCCCCACCCAGCCCACCTCCTCATGCATTTCCTCAGAGACCCCCATGATAATATCAGTGAGTGGGAAACTGCTGTGACTGCTGGTATGAGGTGAGGAAAGAGGAAACGGCATCTCTAACCTTACCAAATCCATGGACTAGCTGCCCCTGAACAAATCTAATCACCTCCTAGGGTTCTATTCTTTCCTCTAAATCAGGGATAGAGACTGGCTGTCCCACCCACCTCTCTCTGATGTTTCAAGGGTAAAAAGAGAAGGCTGGCAGGTGGCCTATGGGGAGAATAATAAGGATAACCAGACCCAGGTCAGGTCCCAGCAACCCAAGCCACACCACCAAATACTTCATCTACTATCAGCTATCCCCGGGAACTAGGAGGTGGCTTCTAGGATCCACCAAGCTTACCAGTTCTGTTCCCATTCTCACAGGACTCATCTGAGAAAAAGATGTAATCCACTGTCATTCCTAGACCTAAGGGCATTGTGGTGACCTCTGGGCGGCCATGCTGGGGCAGGAAATGGGTATATACTGATGTCAGGTGGAGGCAGTGCTGGATGGTGCCTATAGTCCTACAGGGATGGAGGGAGAGATATCAATCAAATAAAATTATTACATTTCCCCCTAGTCACTTTTTCCATGAGTTTGATTAAGTTTCTTATGGGATGCTCCCAAAAGACTCAGTCTCAGCAAATTTTTTCCATGTTGATAAGAGACTGGCAGTCTTAGCTAAAATCAGACTAGTGAGACCCCTAACGTTACTCATCCTCATTCTCCACTTGCCACCTGGTAAAGCAGACCCAATGTTCCCAACTACAGACCAGCAAGCTTGCTGTGAGGCTGTGCCTCCCCACACACCCCCAAGGAAGAAGTAAATGGGCTTTCTGTCTACAAGAACATGAGTGAGTACCTCTGGCTTCTGCACACCTGTATGCTCCTTATAAACTTGTTATAAAAGTGCTCCCCAAATCAGCCTCAGGACAACCAAGGAGAATCTCTCTCATACCTAGACAGGGGCTAAACTGAAGACTAAAGAGAACTGGAGAGGTTTACCTGGGGAAGACAGGCTCAAACTCAGATGTGTCTTCCTCAACGACAGACTCAGCCCAACCAGCAGGTCGTTCTACAGAAGACAGGAGAAAAAAAATCTTGTATAATCCACAGACAGAAAAACAGCATCAGAACCTTTCGCCTTGAAACTTTCTCAGATCCTTGACTAGACTGGTCCAGAAGGACCTACAAGGGGAAGAGAAAAAGTGATGAGAAGAAAACAATGAGCCAAGGTCAAGAACCTTAAGCCTTGAGCTGGGCAGAGTGGCACAACTGTAATCCCAGCAGGAGACTCAGGCAAGATTACCACAAGTTCAAGGCCAGCGTGGGATACACAATGACTCCTAAGCTAGCCTGGAATACACAGCAAAATCCTGCCTTTAAAAGAAAAAAGCCTAAGACCTCTAACATAAATATGGTCTTCATTGGGTCAGCACTTTTTTAAAAGTTTTTTTAAAGAATACAGCCACAAAAAAAAAAAAAAAAAAAAAAGAATACAGCCACATAATACAAAAATTACAATGTGGGGGGAAAAAAATCAGTAAAGTTTCCCTGCCACTAACCCCTAGCTTGCCATTCAATTCCCCTCTCCAGAGGTAACCGATGTTACCAAATTCTTGGTGTATTCTATCACATGCCACCTATTGTGTGTGTGTGTGTGTGTGTGTGTGTGTGTGTGTGTGTACAATGTAACAAAAAAAGTGTTTAAATGTAAAAAATTTATTGCAGTAAAAGAAATGTTGCAATTAATCCTCCTCAAAATATTCCTACTTGCTTCAAACACATTTATCCCATCATTCCTGCCACTTTATGAAGTAGTTATGGAAGTCCTCTTTCATGAGTGCCTTTAGCTGCCCTGTCGTGACTGCCTTGATGTGCTGAATCGATTCAATATGTTTACCTTTCATGGTTATTTTGACTTTGGGAAAGAGCCAGAAGCTGTACAGTGCCAGAACTAGTGAACACACCATAATATTTTTATAGGCCTTCCTTTCCTTTGGGTAGCACTTGGTAGCAGCATTCACTGTATTTTTGATTATACCTCGTAAAGACATGAAAGAAGACTTCCAGGACTGCTTCACAAAGTGGCAAAAATGATAGGATAAGTGTGTTCAAAATGAGGAACAGAAGCCGGTCGTGGTGGCACACTCCTGTAATGCCAGCACTTGTGAAGCTGAGGCAGGAGGATCATTGTGAGTTAGAGACCAGCCTGGGCTACAAAGTGAGCTCAAGGCCAGTCTGAACTGCACAGCAAGACCCTGTCTCAAAAAGACAAAACAAAGAGCAAAGTGAGGTACAGTATTCTAAGGGGGGTTCATGTCAATGTGTTTTTATTGAATAATTTTTTTAAAAATTTAAACATTCACCATATTGTTTAGTCATCCTTTGTATATATCTGCAGATACATTTGTATATAGGTATATAGATACACACAAACATACACATATGTATGTGTACCATATACACATACCTAAAGAAAAAAGAAAGTTAAAATTACCAATATCAAGAAAGAAAAAAGTTTCATTACTACAGATCCTACTGACATTAATAGAATAACAAAGATAAACTCTTAGCTAAACTAACAAAGAGAAAACACTCAAATTACTGTAATCAGGAAGGAAAGAGGAGCTATAACTATCAACTATACATCAGGAAAAAAGACTATAAGCAAATACTATAAACAACTGTATTGTAAATTGGATCACTTAGATAAAATGGACAAACTCCTAGAGACACAAATTACATAAATTTGATTCAAGAAGAAATAGAAAACCTGATTAGGCTGAGTCCCAGCACACTGGAAGGCTGAAGTAGGAGGATCTTCACTATAAGCCCAGCCTTGGAAATTCTGACAGAACTGTATCTCAAAATAAAAGACAAAAAAGAGCTGGGGATATGGCTCAGTGCAAAGGACCTGGGTTCAAGCCCCAGTGGTGGTGGAGAGGCTGCAAACAAAAGTCCAGGCTTAGATGGCTTCACTGATAAATTCTACCAAACATTTAAAGAAGAATCTTTCACAAACACTTTCAAAATCTAAGGAGAGCAGACATTTCCTAAATCATCCTATGACATCAATATTACTTTCATGCCAAAACTAGATAAATACATCACAAAGAAAACTACAAGTCAGTATTCCTTATGAATGCAGATACAAAATTCCTCAATAAAACAATAGCAAGTCAAAGCCAAGAAAATACAAAAATGATTATAAACTGTGACCACAACATAGGACTTATCCCGGGAATGTAAGGTTAACTAATGCAATACATCAAATTAAGTGAATATTTAAGGACAAAAATCATATGATTATCTCAGCAGACACAGAGAAGACCTTTGACAAAACCCAACACTTTCTGATGATTAAAAACCACTCAAAAAAACTAAGAATATAAAAGAACACCTTCAATTCTATAATCAAGAGAATTTACAAGAAGTCCACAGCTAGTATCATAATGGTGAAAGATGGAAGCTTTACCCCTAAGATGAGAAATAAGACAAGGATGTTACCATTTCTGGTCAATACTATAACAAAAGTTCTAGTTGGGTAATTACGGAAGAAGAAACAAAAGGCATCCAGACTGGAATAAAATAATGCTATTTCTACTTACAAGATGACCTGATCTTATACGTAGAAAGTCCTAAGAAATCCATTAAAAACTGTTAGGATAAGTCAGTACAGCAAGATTTTTGTGCAGTATACAAAGTCAATATTAAAAAATCCTATCTCTATACACTAGTAGTGAACAATCCAAAAAAGAAATTAAAAAAATGATTCCATTTATAACAGCATCAAAAAGAAAATATACAAAGAATTATAAAAATAAACTATTAAAATAAATTTAACAAAAATCATGTTAATACTAGCACACTGAAAATTATAAAACATGATAAGAACTTAAGATCTAAACAAATAAAAGATATTCTATGTTCACTGATCATAAGGCAACACTATTAAAATGGTACTATCTCCCAAATTCAAGATTTACAGATTCCTACTAAATCCAAATTAGTTTTGAGGAAACTGAAAAGCTGACATACAATTCATATGAAAATTCAAGGAGCCAATAACAGTCAAAATAATCCTGAAAAATAATGAAGAGGATCTAACCTTTCCTGGTTTGAAAAACTATAATTTTTTTATAGTGTTTTCCAAACACTATAGTTTTTAAACTATAGTTAATAAGGATAGACATAAAGATGAATGGAACAGAGACCCATATATCTATGGGAGAGTGACTGTCAGTGAAGAAAATGTCTAAAATTAGATTATGGTGATAGTTACACAATTCTGAGTATGATAAAAGCCACTAAAAAACACACTTTAAATGGATGGATTTTATATGTGCACTGCATCTCAATAAAATAAAAAAGATAAAGGAATATTATGCAGAACTTCATACAAATAAATTTGATAATTTAGATAAAATAAAATATTCCTTTACATACCTTACATTTGCCCTGTTAAATTTCTGTATTTTTTTGTTACTATTGCAAGTAGGTTCTTTTTACTATCTCTTAACAAATCAAAATTTTTATATATGAATATAGTACTACTACTGATTTCTACATATTAACTCTGTACCTAGCTACTTTTCTGAATTATCTTTGTACTAACACTGTTTTTAGTTGGCTCTCTTAGATCACCAGTTAAACAGAAATATCATCAGAAAGTAATAATCTATCCTTTATAGTTTTACACTTCTATTTTCTTTTTTTAAGGATGTTCTTTAAAGACAGTCTTCAGTATGTTGCCCAGGTTGGTATCCTGTGCTCAAATGATCCTCTCAGTCAATCTCTCAAGTAGCTAGAACTACAGGAACAGGCTCCCATGCCCAGCTACCCCTCTTTTTTTATATATATATTTCTATTTTCTACTTCTAATTCTGTTTGTTGATATCTCCAAGACAAGATAGTTGATGTCCTTGTCATGTTCCTAACTTAAACAGAAATTCTACTAGAGCTTCTTTCTTTAAGATGCTGATTTTTGGAGCAGAGATAAATATATTAACAGTGTAAAGAATTACTGTTTGTTGTACCAGGATTTGAACTCAGGACCTTGCACTTGCCAGGCAGACGCTGTGCCACTGAGCTATATCCCCAGCTATTCACTGTTTCTTTAATGTGGGTTCCTTTTAAAAGTATCTATAATAGATGGTGAATTTTAACAATTATTTCATATAATTCTATAAAATTGTCCACAATTTTCTATAAAAAACTTTTAACTGTATCCCATAAACATACAGTATTTTAATTATTTGTTAGATATTTCTACAGTTTCACTTTAGTTAACCTCTTTGACCTAAATTAAATGTCTGGATGACAGTGTTTTCTTAGGTGTTCCTAATTTCTATTTTTATTACATCTGCCTCTATGGTCTAACATAGGGTCAATTCTAAAGAATTTCCCAGTGAGCTATTTTTAAAATGGTCCCCTCTTCTTTCAATGTTCAGCTTGATATGTAGCAACCAGAGCCACCATACATTACTTAGGTCTTCTATATTCAGTTGCCTTTTGTCTATTTGATATGCTGCAGACTGAGAAAGAGGACTTAAGTCCTTTACTATCATTTATTTTCCATAACTCTTTGTTGTAGCCTATAGTTTCACTTTGTGATTATAGATGTGATATTATTTGCACCATCAATATTAATAACATTAATATCTTCATTTTGAGTTCCATCCTTTATAGCTGCATCTTTCCTAGCATCCAGAACTGTGAAAACTCACAGGAGTCAGCAGGATCTTAAAAGATGGTTCCTCTCAACACCACATTCTGTTCATGAATGCAGCACTGCATACAAACAGCACTGTTCTGACATTACACCTCCACCTGTCCCTCCAGGTTGCAGGAGGTGCGGCTACCTCTGCAGGAGCTGTGACATCTCCAGGGTCCATTCAGCACTGGTAGCAATCAAAAAATCAGGTTCTTCTGCGAGTACTTGACTGGGAAGGGGATCCTAAGTTATACCACATATGGGCCAGTGGAGAAGCTGGATTCAGAACTGTCCTGCTTAGAAAGCTAACCATGTATCATTTTCTTCTGGACAGTTTCATTTTCTTCTGGACAGTTTGCTAACTAGCGGTTTATAAAAATCATCCATTAGCAATTGTTTTTTCTGTAACGCATTAAATTGGATGCAAGGTTTGCTTTTATTAAAAGATCCACAGCCCCAAGAGTCAGTGTAAACATGCAAGTGCTCATGAGAAAGAGAACAGTGACTCCTTTTAGTGTCTGTTACAGTGAGAACGTCTGTATTCTCCACAAACTCCTATGTTGAAATCTTAATCCCCAAAAGTGACAGTATGAAGAGATGATACCTTTAGGAGGTGATTAGGTCAAAAGCATGAAGCCCTCTTGAATGAGACTCGTAGCCTTATAAAAGATGCCCAAGAGAATGTCAAACTTGCCCATTCTACCACTGCTTCTACGCTGTTCCAGAAAAAGCACTCTATCCCCTCTCCTGCTCTGGCTAATAAAATGGTGGCTAGCTGGAGATTCTGGGCTTTTTGTTCTTACAGGGCAACTGATCATCCCAGATCCTGGCTGTGCACCTTTACTGGGGGGGTGGGGTGCCCACGAGAGACTCCTTGTCCCTTCCAACATATCAAGACATGGTGAGAAGATGCCACCTATGATACTTCTGTCATTGCTTTGATCTTGGATTTCCTAGCCTTCCAAACTGTGAGAAACACATTTTTGTTGTTTAAAAACCACTCAGTTTATAATATTTCATTATAGCAGCCTAAATGAACTAAGGAAGTGTCTTTAAGAACTACACTAGGAAAAAAATCATTAATAATTGAAAATATTAACAAGAAAGGGACTTAATTTAAATACCCTACTTATGAACTGCTCTGTCACAAAGGGAGCTGGGAAGTGTGAGAACATGTTTTTTATATTATACAATAAGGGTGATGTAGGAGGCTCCAGCACAATGCAGCATTAGGGGATGGGGGTATAGCTCAGTGGCAGGGTGCCTCCCTGGCAAACGCAAGGTCCTGAGTTCGATTCCTGATACCAAAAAACCACAATACAGAATTAATGTAGGGGAAAATGAACCACCACTACCAAGCACTGCATCTCCCATTGCACTCAAGAGTCTCCCTGTTAAAGTGTGTGTCACAGTCAACTTGTTATTTAGTTTGGGTAACTCTGCTATTGAACTGGAAATAGTATTTGTTAGCATATCCTCTAAGGGAAAAAGAACTCACATACAGTAGTACTCTGATCTCTCTGTACTGCACTTAAATCTTTCCACACCTAAAAATGCTGACAGATTTTATTTTTTTAATTTATTTTAAAAATAAAAGAAGGAGAACATATTAACAAACAGACATCCACCTACAAAATAGCATAACAACAATACAAGCAATACTGAATTACAGACAAAGTGGTAGGAAATTAACAATGGTTGTTGTATTACGTATTGATATCCTCAAAGTGGTTTCTCAGGAAAACAAATACAGACATGAAAGACTGATCAAATAAGTAACCATTAACTGTTCCTTTCAGTAAAGCGATAGAAGTCACTAGTACAACTATGTTAGCTATCCTCTATATACATACATATGTAATTTCCCCTTCTTTCTCTCTTCCCTCATCCCAGTTGCTCTTTACTTTTGAGCATTTTCCTTTCGTTTCACAATGTCTATCATACCTCCTAATTTTTATTCACTCTTTTAGGTTCTTACACTAGATGATAGATTTTAAAGTTAGAAGTTTTTAAAAGAGATTCATCAGTGACCTGTTTGTCCCTGTATAGACCAAATGAAAGGATGTATTCACAACATGTGGTTATTCACTCAAATTTAATCACAACTGTGAAAACACTACTGTCATTTTGCACGGTTATTCAACTGGGTAACCCCTCCACATAGAACAATTGTTTTCTACTTACAAAGTGATTGTCAGTATGTAGTTAAATTGTCCTTGATTTAATTTTGTTTATTAATAAGTTTAAATACGGGGCTGGGAATTTAGCTCAGCGGCAAAGCGCCTGCCTGGCAAGCGCAAGGTCGTGAGTTCGGTTCCCAGTACCGGAGAAAAACCAAAACCAAAAAAAAAAAAAAAAAATAAGTTTAAATACATCATTCAAGTAAAGCATTGCTCTTTTCATTAACCTATTCTTAATAAAAAAATTTTTATATGTGATTCTGTAATTGTTTAGCTTTAGGATTTTGTAATCTTAAAACATTGCACCAAGGTTAGGCGTAGTGGCGCACTCCTGTAATGCCAGCACTTGTGAGGCTGAGGCAAGAGGATCACTGTGAGTTAGAGACCACCCTGGGCTACAAAGTGAGTTCACCGCCAGGCTGAACTGCATAGTGAGACCTGGGGAAAAAAAGAAAAAACTGCACTACTGCTCTCCTGGCTGAGTTTGACTGATAGATGTATTTGTCTCAGTTTCTGGCACATGCTAGTAGTTCAGTACATGGCAGCAATTATTATTACTGCTTGTGGAACAGCTGTGATAATACTGAAGCTAGGCAATTAAAAAAATGAGCCACTGAAATGTTCAGTGCTCTATGCAAAACATCAACTGAAATTAAATCTCTGTAAGACAAAGGCAATGCTTACCAACAAGCCTTTTACTATTATATCCTTGCCATTGTTTGATTGCCTGTATTTATTCCTCTACTAGTTTCTACCAAAAGGGGTGTTGGTTAGGTACAAAATCTTAAGCTATACCTTTTTCCATGAAGCTTTAATCTGGCTTCTAGAGTTGAATTATCAACATTAAGAAGTCTGAAGCTGACCTGATATATATATATATATATATATATTTATATATACGAGGATTGGGCATACATTCCAAGTAACAGAAATTTCCTTATGATATAGGACTATGTGTGGGACATTGAATCTTTACTTCTCCCCAAACAGATATGCAGCTCTATAAGTATCTCACCAACCTTTACCTAATTTGAACAGACCCCTTAATGCAAATATGGCTTGATTCCTTGGTCAGTTCTTCCTCCACTGCCTCTTAGAATCAAAATGGTCCAGAGACTTTCCTATTACAACCCATGCATTACCATTATTGTTGAAAATACAAGGGATTTTGGTTTTGTGCCTCACGGTACACTCATCTTGGGGGAAAGTTCTCTGCTGATTCTGTCTGAGCCCTAAATGTCCCCACATAAGTTTCTCCCTACTTACTCCAGCACTAGACACATTGACCAGAGCTTCTTGTAACCATCTCATCTGTACTATGGTTGACAGTTTAAGATACCATCAGATCCCCTAATTTATCAAAGATGGAGTTTACATTTCTTTTTTTTTTTTCATCCTCTTTGTTGCTCTGAGTTGGTTTCAGAGATAAGGGAAGAGTGTCAAGAATACTCTGCTACATTCCACCTGGAAATTCTCCACAGAATCAAGTTTTTACTACAACCAGATCCAGTGTCGCCTTATGACTCCTGAAGCACTGTAAGTGTATCTTCTCCTTTAGAAATGCTGTATACATGCTAATTATTAGCAACCTAGGCCTAAAAATGTTAAGTGCCTTACTTAAAGTCAGAGCTGCTAAGAATCCAGGTCTCTTGATTTCTGGTCCAGTGCTCTTATCACACTACATATCCACGCATATATGGACCACTGAACTCAATTCACTTTCCTTCTTGTATACTATATACCAGAAGCTGATCTCTGAGAATTATATTTAGAAAAGACTACAAAACCACAGAACTGATAACATTGGGGTAAGGAAGATGACCAAGAAAACAAGCTTAGTTCTTATTACCTGGCTTAGTGTCTGTCACTCCTTCCATGAGAACCAATCCTACTGGTCGCTGACATGCGATGCTGCAGAAGCGGAAACGTAGCAAGAAGTCTCGGCCATACTTACGTCTCTCTATAAAACAGGAAAAGCCAGTGAAAGAAATAAAAAGTAATCACATGCTGAGATCTTCTGCCTGACTTTGAAGACAGAAGATTTTTCCAAAGCTCTGATTTAAAATTGTTCATTTCATTGGGTGGCCATATACAGGACAATGAGAAAAACAGAGGAATTTATTAAGAGAATTAAGGAGATTACATTTTCTCTTGTCTTTGAGGGGCAAGCTTTCTCCCAAAAGGGGCATGAAGACACAGCCAACCAACAATGTACCATGTCTTACCTGATCTCTTGGGGTGGCAGGAGTTGACATACTGACAACAATCATTGATACCCAAGGAGCTGGGCCACAGCGGGGCCTGCAACTTCCTCTGGTAAAGCTGATGGGAGAAGTCTTCCTGTCCAGATACCTACAAGGAGAGGGCAGGGTGGAAATAAGAAAAATGAGATAGAAAAAGATGCCCATATTTTGGGACATATGGAAAAATACAAATACATATAATCATACACTATATACATAGTATAAGCAAGCCACATAAGTCTCAAGGGAAGGTTAAAAATAAGGAGCTATTTAAAAACATTTGTTTTTCACTAGAAACACTGAAATGTCCATGAGACAGGAAGGAGGGATGAGAGAGTAAGATATGAGTCAAAGAGAATAAAACTACATGAGCATGTGGTCCTAGGTTTCACCTTAGAAAAATATGCACAATTCTCCGAGAATACCAACTCTTAGGGGCTTCAACTTGCAACAGGAAGAGGTTTACCCTGATCTGTCAATCTTCTGAACCAAGGTCTAGTATCTTGAGCCTACTATTAAGAAACCACAGGATCAAAGCAAATGAGAAATACACCAAAGCACTTTACCGTGTCTATGTCACCATCCTTGGTAAAAGCCATGAGCAGCCTGGAAATGGACAGAACGTAGTAGGGGAAACATTTGATAGCATCAGTCATCAGCGTATCTCTAATGTGGTAGCAAGATTCCCTTTATTTCATTTAACAACAAATATCTGAACCCCAGCTTATGTGTAAGATACTATATCAGTGATGAGGATAGAGTAATAACATCTTCCTCTGCCCTTCAAGGGCATAAGCTTTCAATATGTCATCTGAAATAAAATAGACCTGGAATTTAATGACTATTAAATAGCTATATACAGTTAAAAACAAAAAACAAAACAAAAAAAAACCTTAACAATCACTACTAATTACTGACTGCTTCATTTGAACCAGGTACTAGAAAACACTTTACATGTGTTTATTTAATGTATCAAAACAACAAAATCTGATGTAACCCCCAACACTTCCCCAATGTACACATGAAGTAAATAGGGTTTGAGAAAGTTAAATAGTGGTGGAATGCATCTGTAATCCCAGCACTCTGGGAGGCTGAGGCAAGAGGATCACGTTTGAGCTCAGCCTCGGCAACTTGGCAACTTAGCAAGACCCTGTCTCAAAATAAAAAATAAAAAAGATTAGGGATGTAGTTCCATGAAGAGGCCCTGAATTCAATCCCTGGTACCAGGAAAAAAAAGAAAGTTAAATAACTCAGCCAGGCATAGCGGCACACACCTGTAATCCCAGTACTCTGGAAGGCTGAAGCAGGAGGGTTCTAAATTTGAGGTCAACCTGAGTGACCGAGAAAGACACTGTTTCAGGGGCTGGGGATTTAGCTCAGCGGCAAAAGCGCCTGCCTGGCAAGCGCAAGGTCGTGAGTTCGGTTCCCGGTACCGGAGAAAAACCAAAAAAAAACAAAAAAAAAAAAAACAAGACACTGTTTCAAAATAAAAACAATAAAAATGGCTAGGGAACTATCTCTGTATAAAAGGCCTGGGTTCAACTCCCAGTACTGCCAAAAAAATAAAAGGGCTTCGGATGTAGCTCAGTACTAAGTTCAATTCCTGGTACCACAAAAAAAAAAACAAAGGAAGGCAGGAGGGGAGGGAGGGAGGGAGGAAGCAAGCCAGTTTGCCCAAGGTGGCAGAATAGGGATTTGAACTCAGGACTTTCTGGCTTCAGAGCAAATTGTTTCATCCACTCTGCCTAACAGTGTCTCCTATGTGATAGGCTCTTGGCAAATTCTTTTTCCTGTTCCCTGGGCAACCTGATTGCAGTTCCCTTAGAGCAAGATAAAGCCCTACTCTAGGCAATTAGGACACTCCTGGTACTTGAGTAAACTCATTAAAACAGAAGCTCAATAATAATTCAATTATTTTCTGTCCTTTCTCCACTGCGCTCTGCCAAAAGCTAAGCCAGATCAGTAGGGACACAACAGAGGAACAAAGATTAAGCAACAGACAAATCAGCACAGGCTGATAAAACTATCAATATTCAGCAGTTAAAAGGGAGTAGGTGTATATGCAAATTATTGAATGTTAAAAAAAAAGCTACAAATGAAACATATAGTACTATATCATGTTTATAAAATACCTATGATAGTTACATATCAGCTGTGGGGCCAGACCACCTGGTTACAAATCCTGGCTTCACCACTAGCTACCAGTACAATCTAGAGCAAATTATTTCACTTCTCTGTGCCTCAATTTCCTTCCATTTATAAAATGGAAGCAATGATAGAAATAGTGAAAATCAGTGAGTTAATACACGTAAGGTGAGTTAATACATATAAAGTTAATACATGTAATACCACTTCATAGTGCTATTATAGTGCAAAACAGCACCTGGCACACAGCTAAGTGCTTCGTAAGTGAAAATTGTGATTTAATATCACAGGGACATAGATATCTCTGTAAATGCATAGAAAACAAAAATAATCTGAAAGAATGCTACCAAGCTTAGATTAGTCATTAGAGGAAGTCCCCAACTTATGACTATTTATTGGCAAACTTTCACAGGTGCACCATAAAAGATTCATAGGGGTACTGTAGAAGACTCACTTCGTCGGATTATGAAAAAAATCTTATAAACATTTCCCTGGAATGGAACTCATTCGTAAGCTGGGGACTTACTGTACTTGACTCTAAAAGAAGAGGGTAAGGAATTTAGGTAATAAAGAGGGCACCTGCCTTATTTCATGTTTGAGTTCTTGCAAAGATCTATGTATTATATGTAAACTAAATATACATTAATGATAAAAACTGGAAGGTTTTTAATATGTCAGTGGTACTCCTGAATTCCTACCTTCTGGGCTTGGGCAAAAGCTACGCAACATAAGAAAATCCAGGAGGGAACCAGAAGAGGAATAACTGAGTCCCTGCCACAGAAGCAGCACTTGATGCCAACACCTGACTCTCCCTACACTGTGTTTCCACCTCCCAGTGCCCTCCCCCACCTCACCTTCCAGGCCGGCATCCCATTGTAGTGGAGCTCTCCGTCTCTGATGAAGTTGTAGAGAGGTGAATTAGGGACAGAATTCAGGTCCCCACACAAGATGATGGGACAGTGGCTGCCATCTGACAACCTGGCCACTTTGTCCACTTCAGCCAGGAGAATGGCCATCTGGGCCAGCTTGACGTCACCCCGTCGTGGGTTGTACAAGACATGGGTATTTGCCACGCACAAGGGGGCTACCGAGACTTGTCCCAGGCCTTCTGGGACTAGTGGCTGCAGCAACAACACTAAGCCCACATTGTCCCGATTGAGGAGCTCCAAGCCAGGCCGGAAGTACTCCACGGGGCTGGCACAGAGCAGACGGAATCTGGTGGGCTTGTAGCAAACAGCACAGCCATCCATTTTACACCCAGTCCTCCTCTTGTAAAAACACGTAAAGCCTACAAGGAAAACCCCACCCAGGAAATAGGTCAGAGTTCTTGAAGTCTGAGTCCCTACCCACCAGTGCAGCAGCCCAAAGTATGTGCCTAAAGGCACTGTTTCGGCTGCTCAACAAGGGGAGCCCTTCTCCTTGCTACTTCCCAGGTCCTGCAGAGATTCCCTTATAACTGTAACCGATGACTGAAGGGCTGGAAGGGGAAGGAGGGAGCAAAGGATATGAAGCAGTATAACAAACTCCACCGGAAAAGCAAAGAATCTTGAGTCAGACAAGTTGGAATCCTAGTTCCATAACCTACTAGCTTTGTAGTTTTATGATTCTGAGCAAATCACACGAACTTTCAGAACCCCATTTCCTCATCTTTAAAATGGGAATAACAACACTCAGCCTCACCTGTTATTTCAAAGATGAAATGGTTAATAGTCAGAATTACTTTAAAAACTGGAGAACACTACTCTCTCACTCACAGATGAAAAAAACTAGCTCACAGGTGGGACTGAGACTGAGGGTTTCCTACGATACAGGAAAGGAATCTTCAGGAGAAAGTAGGGAGGGCTGACTGGGAGTAAAGAGACTGGCAAGTACACTAAAGAGCCGCAGTACCCATCATTCGGAGAGCCGGCTCCAGCTGCTCCCAGTAATGATCTTCCTGGACTTCCTGGAGACACAGGATCTGGGAAATTGACAAGAAAACCAATCACTCCAAAGTGCTGGAATGTGATTCCCACTCCCTAGGAACAGGAACCCAGGGCAGGTAGGAAGCTGTGAAGATCTCAGGTAGGGTCACACTGAAACTTCCCGCACACCTGACTTCCCAGACAGCCACCACTACCAAGGTTTAAGCTGAGGAGACCAGAGACACACACTAGAATTTCATGCTCCTTTAATTCATTGAGTTTCTCTCCCTGCATAAATATGCTGGAACTGCACATCTCAGCATCTGCCAAAAAACTCACTAACTCCAGGCAGATGAGCTCCAGCCTTAGGCAGGACTGCAGTCACCTGAAGAACTATGGCACTCAACTCATTCTCTAAAAGCATCAGGAAACAGCACACATGGCCCTTTCCCTCTTTCACTCACATCAGGGTCCCAATGCTGGAATTCCTGCATGAGATTTGCAAAGCGATAGTTCCAATTGAGGATGTCTGGATGGCAATGCAGATAGAGCTCTGAGCTCTGCTGCATCAGGTCCTGGGCCAGGATATTATACGACATCAGAGTGAACTGGAACTGAGGGCCATCGCCTGCCTCCAGGCCCTGAGCATCTGGCTGAGTGGAGAAATCCTCCCATTCTCTCCACAAGATTTCTGCAAAGTAATTGAGGTAGAGATCCATGCATGACAAGTCTGGGTTATCTAGAGGCCCCCCAACCTCTGCTCTGACTCAGTTATATTATACCTGAAGTTTCTTTTATCCCATCTTCCCTATCACCTAGCCCTCTCTGGTGATTGGAACAGCATTCTACAGACATTCTTCAGAGTAGACAGCATGCTCCACCAAGCCAGAGACTAGCCAGTCCGCCACCGCATCCCCTGTAGTTCCCACCTGGTAGATGTTCATAAAGTATTTAAGAGTCTGACAATCTCTTACTTTTGATATGTCTATGAGTCTCTGGAGAATCACTCAACTGGGTGTGTTTCATAGTAACCTGAAGAAATTTCTAGAGTAATTTCAGCCTTGTGTATTTTCTGACTACTAAACCCAGTTATAAAATGGGGCAGCTTAGTGGATTTCAAAACTTCTTAGGCCACTGAACTTTCTTCAAATTTTAATGGACCCCAGTATGTAACACAAATAAACTGAAGTTATCATCCAGAAACTAGAGAGACCCCGAAACCTTTCCATGCTATTCCCAGAAAGCCCTTGAATCACCTCTGTAGATATAACAGTGTGGAGAATCAAAATTAGGGTTGAGTCTATTCTTCTGCTACCTAGCTGTGACTTCAGATATACCCCACTACTTCTCTGCACGGTGGTTGTTTTATCTGTAAGTCCATGGGGCTGGACAGGGTGATCTGTAAGACCTCACTAGACCTGACCCTGATACTACAAGGTCTACAGGAAAACAAACAGGTGGCCAAGCTCTCCACCACACAATTTCCTCCCAGACAGATGGCTACCCTGGCCCACTCAGCTAGTGGTCAGACTCACCATGGTATGGTATTTCCATTGGGGGAGGCTGCAATTGCCCCAAGCTTTCAAAGGGCCAAATGGGAGTCTCTTGCTGGGGCATCGGCTCTGTTGCTATGCTCCAGGCCATCACTGCAGGGTCCTCTTCCCACTGCTCTGTGGCCAGGGCACCCACTGGGAAGACAGCACAGTCTTCATACTGGGAACCTGTCTGCACAGGCACAGTTGCCCATAAAGGGGCCTCAACCTCTGACAGTGGCGCCTCTCCTAGCACCTGAGGCAAAGGCTCCTCCAGGGTCTCTGCTGTCCGAAGGTCACTCAGCTGCCTGCTGGACCACTTGTCCTCTGAAGTAGCATCCTGTTCTCCAGGATTATCCATCAGGAACGACAGACGGCTCTGGGCTAGTGCCTTATCTGCAAGAGGATCCTCACTCACAGCTGACAGCACCTGGCTCAACCCTTCTTCTCGCCACTGCTGCAGCAGGCCCTCACACTCCTCCTGGTCAGGGCCCCGAGGGGCCATGGCAAAGTCGCCCTCTACCTGGGGGGACGAGCTCTTCGCCAGAAGGGCATTTTTTCGACATGTGAAAAAAGCATCTAAGAGGAAAGCAAAAATACCAGGTTATAAAAAGACAACATCACACTACCCACACTCTTCTTCCAGCTAAATGTAAGCCTCACATGAGCAAGAATCGTATCTACCTCTGGTTCTAAAAACCATATGCATCGAAATTAACCCTTGACCATGAAATACAACTGTAAATTACGGTCTAGACTACCTGAACTTGGACAATGCTCCTAATCAGATAAACTTACTCTTGTTTTTTTTGAGACAGTCTTGCTCTGTAGCTCAGACTGGCCTTGAACTCATGATGTAGTTCAGGCTGGCCCTGAGTTCAAAGTGATCCTCTAAGTGCTGGGATTACAGGCGTGCGCCACCAAGCAGATAAACTTCACTTACTCTCGGACTATAAAATGGGGATAAAAGAAGTTTGGAGTAGATAATCTCCAAGAATTTTCTAGCTCTATTAAAAACTCCCTAGTCTGTGAGTGCAATCCAAAAGAAAAAGCCTAAAGTAGATAGTCTCAAAAATCTACACAACTTACTTCTTAGCAAAGGTTCTTGAGCCTCTTCTCAAAGACACTTAACTCTACTCAAAATTTTCACAAGTTGTATTATCTGTTTTCCATTCCCCAGCATATCAGCAGTTGTAAAATAGAAGATGCCAACAACTGACAGCTAAGAGACAGCTGTCATCTCTCTGCTACAGCAGCTACAAATGACAGCCAACAAGCAAGAAAGCAAGTGGGAAAATAGCTAAAATTAGAACTTCAAAACCCCAAACACAGCATTTCAGTGAGGGCAAATAACCCCCCACACTAAATGACTTATTTATAGCATAGGACAAATGACATACAGATGATAACCCACATTCATGAGAGATTAATATGGCTCAAATATTGAAAGATAGTTCAAACGGTTTGCGTATAGCTTATGTGAACGTATGCCCCTCTAAACCAGTAGCTTTCAGCTGAGGGACAGGCACATTTAATAATGTCTAGAGATTTTTATGGTACATTTAGTAATGTCTAGAAATTTTTGTGGGAGTCACCACTGTGACAGTGCTACTGGCATTTAGTAGTTACATGACAAAGCTACTGCAGAACATCCTAAAATGCACAGGGCAAACCCACAAATGGTGTGACCCAAAATGTCAACAGTGCTGAGACCCAAAAACTGTGCTCTAAACCCAGGGGCTGGGTTGCTGGTGTTTAGCCTCAGAGACTTGCTAATTATCCAGACACCTCCCCTATGTATGTGTACTAGATGGCAGAGGTTCTTCGGCTTAAATGCACGAGGTCACCAACTTTTCAAATGTAACTGATTTTGTAGATGGTGCTGGTTTGCTCCTCAGAAACAGAATGTTTTTATTTTTTAATCTTATCTTGCCGGGCATGGTGGCACACACCTGTAATCCCAGCACGCAGGAGGCTGAGGTAGGAGGATCGCTGTGAGTTTGAGGAAAGCCTGGACTATATAGTGAATTCAAGGCCAGCCTGGACTATATAACAAGATCCTGCCTCAAAAAAAAAAAAAATTTAAAAACCAAATTCCCAAAGTTAATATAAGTATGGGTTAGAAGGGGGCCTCCTTTGATATCCCTAGAACTCTACTGTTCTGGAAACCTCTGGACTAGTATGTATGTGTCACTAAGGCTGTCACCGTACACTGGAAGAGCTCCAGGTACCACAGCAACATAAAGGAATGTGCTGAGTTCTCCGAAAAACAAGGATTTCTGTAGGGTTTCTCATTGCTAAGTATGGGCACACTTGGTATCTACCACACACCAGGCAGTGTTAGCACTAGATGCAACTAACAAACGTTCACGGCCCTACCCGCCTCAAGCTTGCAGTCTAGTGGAAGATAAATAGCAAAAAACTATGAAACACCTATTATCACACACACAATATGTAAAGTTCCAGAAAGAAAAAGCATAGAACGCAGTTGTTCGCCTTATTTCTGGATCCTGCCCCCTAAACTGTAGGAGAAAAGTCTAGAAGTCTGCGGGATCTCAGAGAGGAACTGATGGTCGGATAAAAGCGTCTGGAATTTCAACGACCAGGAACAGGGAGTGCAGGCGGATTTTGAGAAAGTGAAGGAGTAACCCCGCCTCCTCTCTCTAAAGTAACCGCGGCGGGGCGCCCACTGCCCCGTCTCTCCCAGCCACGCCGGCAAAGGCTCGGCGGCAGCTGGCAGGCGGCCGTGCAGCGGCGGGGAGCCGGGCGCGCTCGCACTTCAGCCACGACCCCCGGGCCGCCACCTCTGCCCGCAGGAAACCGGGGGACTCGCCTGGGCCAGGGCGCCAGCCTCGCGACGCCGGGGGCGGCGACTCGGGCGACCTACCCCACGGCGGGGTGGGAACGGGCGGCTGCCAGGCCCCGGGCCACGTTAACTGTGGCCGACGTCACCAGGCCACCGGCGGAGGGGGCTCGCCCACGAGGGTGGCCGGCCGGGCCTCGCGGGGCCGCACGGCCCCGTGGGGCGGGACAAGGACCGCCTCGCACACCTTGGCGCTGTCAGAGACCGTGGCGGAGAGGCCCGCGCTCCGCAGCCGCCCCGGGCCCCGCGGGGCCCCGCTGAAGCAGGCCGGGCAGGGCTCCTGCCAGTCAGGACGCGGGACCGGTACCTGAGATGGCGCGGAAGAGGCGCGCGGCCGGAAGCAGCAGGTAACACAGGCACGATGCAATCATCGCCGGCCCTCGCCGCAGCCGCCGAGTCTCCGCAGCGTGGCCCCGCCCCCGATACGCCCAAACCACGCCCCCGCGGCCCAGGTCCCGCCCCGGCAGGCTCAAGTGCGCCGCGGCCTCCGGCCACTCGCTTCAACAACAACTTTATTGGTATCGCAGGCCCGGGAGCCCCGCAGGGGGAGGGCGGAGCGGGCTCGCATACCAACGGCCAACCGGTGCTCCTCAATTTGTGAAGTGTGAAGGTTTAAGTTTGTATATATGTATATGCAGGATAGTTAACACGGGTGTTCTACTGTCCTGTATTTCCTTGCTGAAAGAAACTGTCAGTGAGGCATTGGTTGATTAGCTTTGTATGTCTATATGTGTTTTCATGAGAAACTACATTGAAGATATCAATATGTAATACAATAAGCATTGTTAATTCCCTACCACTCTGTTTGTAACTCTGTAATGTCTGTACTGATCCTATGCTATTTTGTAAAATGTTGTCGGTCTGTTAGTATTTTCCTCCTTTTATTTCTAAAATAAAAAAAAAATTTAAAAAAAAATTGAGTACCTCACAAGAGGCGCATAGTACCATTCTGAGGCACAATTTTATTCTCACTTTTTCTGCTAACTGGGTGTCTACCTTCGGGCCACCATATGTCCTTCAATTTCCTCCTCTGTAATATAAAGGGCTGGACTTTCTCTAAGGTTCCTCTTAAACTGATTGCCATGCTCGGCTCTTGGCCCAGAGAGGAGAGGAAGCCAGCTATTCCCCTATTTCCTCTACCCGCCCTTACTGTCTCCCCAGCTCAGATTCTAGGTCATAAAGTGAGGTCTTCCATGCTTGGGCGCAAATTTTTGTCTTCTTCACTGCTTGTCCCCCTAATATGGACAAAAGAGGGTGTCTCGTGGGTAAGGTGGATGAAGGACGGAGGGAGAAAGGAAGGGACTCACTCCGTAAGGCCTGGGAGCACGTCTGACTGGTGGTTTGTTTGCCTTGTGGTGTCTGTCTAGTGCCTAACGCTGTGCCATGCCCGCTGTGAGGATCCATGACTGAACCAAGTGTAATCACTGAATGGCGGTCAGTTCTTCCCTCGATTCTGGGCTACTCAAAGACCTCTTTGAGCATCACCTTTCCAGTTCCCACCCTCAATCTTCTGCCCCACCCACGCTGTGAAGAAGGACGGACTATGAAATTCACCCACTTCCGGTGTGATTTCCAGTCTGTGGCTGGAGCCTCAGTTGTTCAGGGAAGCCTTCTGGGGAGTCACCGGATCGTGGACCTGCTAGGTACATCTTAACACGGAAGGTCTAAAAAGAGGAAGGAGAGAGTCAGTACTGTGTGTGGCCTTTTACTTCCAGAGGTGGCAGTGTCTGCCTCCAGCAGTAGCCCCCATCCCTTTGCCTGGGATGAACCAGAGGCCCTGAAATCTGAAGGCTGGGAAGCCACTTAGAAACCAGCCCACAAAAGTCAGCTTTACCTAAGGAGCCCAGGGTCAGGCCCACTTCTTCCACGGGGTTTACCTAAACCCTGCTTGTACCCTCCTTGCGTTTTGTACCCAGAAGTTCAAGTTGCAAATCAGCTATTATACCGAACTACTATCTGGAGTCTATGTATACCATTTTGTGAGGTAATAGTTTCTTTATTTACTTGGAAAATGCATTTAGAATACAGATTTCTAGATGATCTTTGCAGATCGGCTTTCACTGATCTGGGATGAAGCTCTCAGACACCAAGTCATTCTGTTGTAGAGCTCAGATGCCTCTGCTGAAGGAGCCAGCCTCAGCTGGGCTGGCTGCACAGAGCACAGGTGTGGCGCAGGGTGGCAAGCCAGCTGATGCCATGATTCTTCAAAGGCTTCTCCTGAGATCCGCCAAGTGAGGCTGCCCTGTGTTTCCTGGCCCATAATCAGCTGTGTTGGAAAGTGTAGGGGCATAGGAGAATCACAAGCTATGAAATTAGGCCACCGTGAGTTCAGATCCCAGCTCTGCCACTTGCTATCCCTGGAACCTTTCAAGTTACCTAACCTCTTAGAGCCTCACTTTCCTAACCATGCCTGGCCTAGGGAAGCTCTCACTTGTTTACAATTATATTTTTTTGAACTTGGGCAAAAAGCAGCTTTGGCCACTATGAATAAAGGGCCTTCTTCCATAAACCCTGGCTTGAATAAGGCTCCTGTCCACCAGGCTGCAAAAGCAAGCCAGTCACTGCCCAATCAGAGGGTAGTTGGCCTTAGGAGGTGTAGCCCCAGGTTTCCCCAGTAAAAGGAAAATTACAAATACCATCTGCATTATTTCCAGTCTCATCATGTTAGAAATAATCTAAGAGAGGGATGAGCTCCTCAATTTATCCCAACCTTGATAACAATGACTGCAGTGGTGGGCATTCATCAGGAGCATGGTTTCGAGAAGCAGAGCCTATCTAAAGGGGCAAAGCGGACAGTCTGTAATACTTTGGAGGGTTTAAAATGGTTTTTTTTAAGGGGCATTTCCTGTACACGAAACTGAAGGCCCTTAAGGGCTCCAATTTTATGACTGTAGTTATACGCAGGATAACCAGCTGACTGCCTTTGTGAACTGGGCTGTGTCTGTGCAGTTCACGGGGAGCGACATAATGACTCCTTCAGGATTGCAGAGGCTGCTGACCAAGCCTGGACCAGCGCTGTCCAAAAGAAAGATAATGTGGACTGCACATGCAATTTCAAATTTTATATTAGGGTCTGGGGGTGGCTCAGTGATCAAACACCTGCCTAGCCACCCTCCAAAAAACATATTATATATATGTATAATGTAAAAAAGTAAAAATACTATATAAAAAGTAAAAATATTCATAAGTAAATAAAGCAAGTAAAATTAATTTTAATAATGTTTTATTTAACCCTACAGACCCAAAAAATAGCTTTGTAAAGTGATCAAGCCAGGTGTAGTGGCACACACCTGTAATACTAGCACTCAGGAGGCAGAGGAAGGAGGATGACCTTGAGTTCCGGGCCAGCCTGGGCTACATAGTGAGTTCAAGGCCAGCCTGAACTATATAGCAAGACCCTATCTCAAAAAACAAAACAAAACAAAACAATGTAATCAATATCTTAAAATGATATATTTTAATTCTTTTTTATACTTGGTCTTTGAAATCCCGTGTGTTTTTTGCATGAACATCACACCTCAATTTGGACTAACCATATTTCAAGTACTGAATAGCTACAAGTGGCTTATAGTAAGTGGCTTCCATTCTAAACCAGTACATGTCTAGAACTATACATCTGCAATTTATGAGCCACCTCATGCCCACTTCTAGAAACTTGGCTCCTCTGAGCCTAGTGTTTTCTTCATAGTCTCAGATGGTTCCAGATTGTGCCAAAATAGTCTGAGTTGTTGCATTCATCCACACACTTTTTCTAATATTCGTCAGAGTTTTATCAAGTACTCTTCATTGTTCACCCTGGCCTTGCTCTTGTTCTGTCTTTGACTTGCTGCCCTACTCCCTCCCTTCTTGTTTTCGTCCACTTTAGAGAAGAAACGGAACCACCAAGTAGAAACTCCGCACTCTGTAGACCAGCATCCATGTCTCGCTCTGCTTCTTTGCCTCCCAGACAGTGGCTGATCCTCCCACCGCACTCAGAATTCCATCTCTCCTCCCTCCTGGATGTGATTCTTCCACTTGCCCCTTTTTCTCTGCATTACTCCTTCCCACCAATACTGGAACCCACCAGTCTCTCCTATATTCCAAAACCCTTTCTTGGCCCCATAGCCCCTCTGGCTGCTCCTCTGTCTTTCACAGCCAACTGGAGAGAGTTGTCTGCACCTGTGCCTGGGCTCCTTGCCCCTCTTTCACACTCACTCCACTGACGTGCAGCCTTCCCTTGGTTTCTGTGACAGCCTCTTCTCCCGTCTACCATCTCTGTGCAATTCTGTTCTGATGTCCTTCGCTTTGTTCCTTTGGCCACTCTCCTTCCACTGAGGGTGCTCTTTGGTCTCCTCACCACTGAAATGATTTAAAGTACTGTCCATACACTGAAAACTCTCATACTTTCATTTTTAAACCCAGGTCCTTTTCCTGGGCCACAGATCCATAAATCCTTTTACCAATGGACCTCTCCAGTGGCTGTCCCTGAGGTAACTCAAAAGTCCAACACACCCAAAGACATGCTCCTCACCTTCTGTCCATCATCACCCTACAAAATAGACACTGCCCCAGTTCCTTGATCTTCTTTATGAACAGCAAATCATCTGCTCAGCTACGCAGACCTACTACATTTTCTTCTCTGTTATTTTTATATCTGATCTCTTCTGAGTTCTTGTGGTTTGACCTTCTTTTTAGTCAGTCCATTTCACCCTGTAGCACATTCCACACGGCCCCCAGAGCAAACTTTACACTCTGCAAACCTGATTAGAAAGCACTGATGCTTAAAACATTTCTGCAAAGCCCCTAGTCATCAAAACACTCAAGACTTACCGAGGTGATAGTACATGCTTATATGATCTCAGCACTGTGGGAGACCGAAGCAGTAAGACTGTAAGTTCAAGACCTGCCTTGGCATTTAGTGAGACCTTATCTCAAAATCTGGAAAGGTGTGGGGGGATAATGATGTAGCTTACTGTGAAGGCCCAGGTTCAGTCCCCAGTACAGGGGGCACAAGCAAAGCCAGACTCCTTAGCAAAGCATGGGAAGCCCTTCACGGTGTACCTCCGCCCACTTCCCCGTGTCATTTCTTAATCCTTCCTTCCATCACCACTTGCCCCCAACGAGAACTGCACTTCCACCTCATCAACTACTTGAGATTCCTTCAGCATACTATGGAGACTGTATATATGCTTTTCTCTCAGCCTCAGATGCTCACCCACACCTACCCCACCCTCTGCCCTCATCTGGTTTCTGCCTAATGAACCTTCAAATCTCTGCCCAGATATCTCTTCCTCAGTGGCTCTTCCCCAATGGCCAACGTATTTGGACATGCATGGGCACACCACTCACTGGCCCTATAGTGCCAGAAGTTTCTCCTCTTAACTTCCGTAGCATCCTTGCATACTGTAAGTTAGATACTGTTCATCACCTGTGCCGCTCATAGACTGCATATTTTATGACGATGACCCTCTACCCCAGCACCCTGCCCAACTCCAGAGCACTCAGTACACTGAGTGGATGGATGGGTGGATGGATGATGAGTGGGTAGAAAAAGTCCTCCTTTCAGAGGATCTTAGTTTCATGAGTAAACTGGATACTTTTTTTAAAAATCCAAACTTATGAAAATGGACACATAATGAGGACTTCCTTTGCATTTTCCATTTTGCAATATAATCCTCTGGAAAGTGACTTTCTTTCAAAGACTCCCTCCCACATTTGAAATCTGACTTGATTTAAAATTACCATCTAAAAAACCCCTTGCATAAAATTAATCATTGTCACAACTCATGTAATGTACAGGTAGTCCATTTGTCCCTTTGGCTGTGTTTCCTCATCTTGTCTCCAGATCTGGTTTCTGTTTCTCTGATTTTTTTCTCTTTTCTCTTCTTTGAAGAACTTGGACCTTCACTATTTGATGCCAGATAATAAGTGCCCATCTCTGCCAGAGCAGTGTGAAAGAGCCACAAATAGCACTTACATAAACGCTCATGACTCTGGTTCAGCACAAATTATAAAAACAAGTCATGGACAAGATTTAGCTCTTGGACTATCCTCACCAACCCTGCAGTACATCACCTGCATGCAAACCTTCCTGAGCCAGGGGCAGCCATTGCCCGGAGGGAGGAATAAATTTGAGGAATATGCTACAAAACCTAACCGGTAGTCTTTAAAACGTGCCAAGGCCATGAAAGACAATGAAAGGAAGACAGAAACACCACAGATTGGGGGAGACTAACAGAGTCAAAACAAACAATGCAGTGTGGGATCCTGGAAAATAAAATGGACCTTAATGAGGAAATTGGTAAAATGTAATACCTCCCTGTTCCTTCCTTTTCCTCTTTTTTTTAGACAAAGTCTTGCTATAAAGTTCGAGTTGGCCTTGAACTCACTTTGTAGCCTATACTGGCCTTGAACTCACTCACAGTGATCCTCCTGCCTCGGCCTACCAGGTGCTGGGATTACAGGCATGTGCCACCACACTCAGCTCTGCTTTCCCTCTTAATGATGCTGTCTTATCCCCTGCACCAGTAGGGGGCCAACCAGATGCACTGAGGATCTGTAGGACTCATCCTGCTGACAGCTGGTCAGCCTGCTTGATATTAATTCCTTGGAACCATATGAGATGGAGACACCAGAATAGTGTTGTCATGCTGAATTAGGGTGACTCACATCATTTATATGAACAGGAACTATTAAAAATATTTTCCCAGGACCCTCCCCTCTGGGTCGGGCTCTACAGTATCTTGTATCGCAATACCTTTCAAAGGTCTCTGTCTTCATCATGCCTCATCCTTGTTCTACAATGGTGCCTATCTTAGTGGCTCATAACATAGTAAGTGCACAATAAGTATTTTTAGAATGAGTGCCTAAAGGAATGAATAATATCTCAGGTGGATATCTTTCTTTTGATCTTTGGTGTTAATGATGTTTTTCCTACACAAATTTCTAGATCTTCATCATTCTTCTGAGTGACAAAAAAGGGTGTTCATATTCCCAAGCCCTTCAGTCACTGACCTGACCGTTGATGCGCCGAAAGCTTATTGAGAAGGAACAAACACACCTCCGGATTCTCTTGACAGCAAACTTCCCCTGAACTTCAACTCCACCACATATGAGAACAGCCAAGTATGGGAATGATGGCTGAGTGGTTTTGATTTAGACAGCCCAGGCGTTTGGATTGAGCAATGCTTTGGCTGCAGCAAACTGTAGTGATAGAACATATGTTTGTGCTGCTTTGTTTTTTGATCTTTGACTCCGAGGTTGAGGCCCTCCCAAGGGCAAAAGAAAACAAGAAAACTGGGTTGAAGAAAACTCACTTCACCCGTCCCTGAAATACATGGTACCTGAACCACAACAACCCTGAGAGATGAACATGGTGGCAGCTCTTCACAGTCACTGATTAAGGAGCTTGGCTTTTGGCCCTGACTCAAAGAGAAATACACCCTCACTGAGAGGTGCCCACACAGCACCCAGACACTGGCAGCCAAGCGTGAGCTTGGCCCCAGCAGTCACGTGAGAAAAAATGACTGGCCACCAGAGCCACCAAGAGGGCGGGAGGCCCACTGTTGCCAAGTCCACTCTCATGGATCATAATAACTGCATGAGGTCACAGAATGTTGAGACTGAAATCAAGTAGCTCCTAAGTCACAAAGTCATGGGCAGGTGGGCATCCTTTCGACAGGGCTTTCAGGAATAGAGCTGTACCACTCTCCCCAGTGAGCTGGGGAAGTAGCTCCCTCTCCCAGACAGCGTTGGGATCAAGCCCATGCATATCCAATCCCTGCCAAAGCCCTCTCTCCCCAAAGCTCACTGGGATAAAGGGATGACTTCAAGCACTCCTGGGATTTGCCTATTCGAGGCCAGGACATACAGCTTGAGACAGAGGTGAATGGACAAGCAGGCTTCTTAGGGAAGCAGCTGAGAGGTGACAAGAAAGCAGCAGCCCTCAAGAGAGAGCCCCGGCAGCATGGACAATGACGAGCCTCTTGAGGACGAGACAAAAGGTGAACAAGACATCCCATCTCTCTCCTCTGGGGCCCTCCCAGGCTGTGCAGTGGAGTGCCCAGTAACCATGCAGGCCCAAAGCCTCTTCTCTCTCTGCCAGGTTCCCTCTAGAACAGGGTTGATGTGTTACACTGACTTGGGTTCCTGGCTGGGCAAACAGACTGTTCAGTTGGGTACTGTGCTGCAGTTGCTCATGTTGGTTCTAGCCAATTTTCATTTTCATTTTGTGAGCTGGTTGACATCACCTTGGTAGTTAGAAATCAATCATCTTGGGAATATTTACACCATATGCATTGGCCTACACTATAAATCAAAATATGATTTTTGTTGGTTTGTTTGTTTTCCTGGAGAGCCAGTCATTAAATATTTACTAGCATCCCATGGGATGAATGTAATTTTAAAATTGTTTGACCAATGAGGAAGCTGAAACTCAGGAATATCATTTTTTCAGGGCACTTGTGGCAGGTGGCAGCTCAGCTGCTATATGTCCCCCAACCACCAGACTCTTGCATCCCACATCACATAGACCTTGTCTCACAGGCTGGTAAATAAACGTTGGGGCCCTGGTCTACGGGCAAGGACTAAGACATAGGCATGTATGGGCTTGTTAGGAACCCCACCATCCTAGAATCTAGGACTCCTTCCACAAATGCTCACTTACCCAAAAAGAAAATTGGCCATGTTCTTTTGGGTCATCTGGAGGCAAAGCCACTGAGTCTTACTGATGTTAGCTCTGACCTCAGGCATGGTTTTCAGGAGCCCATGGCTGGATGCAGATCAAGAGCCAAGTGGAAAAACATCTATTACATATGGAGGATCCATGTAAGAGAAGCTCTGCTCCTCCCACCAGCATCATGGTCACAAGACACATATGCGTTTGATTAAAGCAACTTCAAGCCAGGCATGGTGGCACACACCTATAATCTCAGCACTCTGGAGGCTGAGGCAAGAGGATCATCACAAATTTGAGGCCAGCCTGGGCTACATAGTGAGTTCAAGTCCAGCCTGGACTAAGTCATAGTGAGACCCTGCCTCAAAAAAGAAAAGAAAGAAGGAAGGAGGGATAGAAAGATGGAAGGAAAGAAGGAAGGAAGGGAGAAAAGAAAGAAAGAAAGAAAGAAAGAAAGAAAGAAAGAAAGAAAGAAAGAAAGAAAGAAAGAAAGAGAGAGAGAGAGAAAATGGAAAGACCTTGTTCCTGGATAGGCAGAACCAATATTGTCAAAATGGCATCAAAACTGATATATAGATTTAATGTAAACCCAACCAAAATACCAACAGCATTCCTCACACAACTAGAGGAAACAATCCTAAAATTCATATGGAACCAGAATAGCAAAAGCAATCCTAGAAAATAAAAGCAAAGCAGGAAGCATCACTCTCCCAGATTTCAAGTTACATTACAAACTATTACAGTGATAAAAACAGACATGTGGATGAATGGAACAGAATGGAGGATGCAGAAACAACCTTAAGTAAATTCAGGCATCTGATCTTTGACAAAGGGACCATAAAACATATAAAGAGGAAAGATAAGAAATAATGCCAAGAAAATTGGCTGGCCACATGCAGAAAATTGAAGCTAGACCCATATCTCTCACCACATACTAAACTAAAATCAAAATAGATCAAAGATGTAAATATTAAAACAAAAACAATCTTCTGGACGATAAAATAGGTAAAGCTCTTCAAGACATAGGTATAGCCAAGAATTTTCTGAACAGAACTCCAATTGCACAAGAAATAACATCAAGAATCAACAAATGGAGGCCAGGTATGGTGGCACACACCTGTAATTCCAGCACTTAGAAGGCTGAGGCAGGAGGATCATTGGGAGTTCAAGACCAGTCTAGGCTACAAAGTGAGCTCAAGGACAACTTGAACTGCATAATGAGATCCTGTCTCCAAAAAAGACAAAAAAGAAAAAGAAAAAGAATCAATGAATGGGATTATATCAAATTAAAAAGCTTCAGCAAAGCAAACAACAGAATTATGAGAAAACCTACACAATGGGAAGAAATTGCCAGCTATTCTTCAGACGGAGGACTAATATCTAGAATACATAAAAAACTAAACAAATTAGATTCCCCCAAAACAAAAGACCCAAACAAAAATGGGCAATAGAATTGAATAGAGGCTTCTCAGAAAAAGAGATAATGTTGAATAAATATTTGAAAATGTTCAACATTTCTGGCCCATTAGAGAAATGCAAAACAAAACAATGCTAAGATTCCATCTTGCTCCAGAAAGATCAAGAAATCAAATAATAACAAAGGCTGGCGAGGCTGTGGGGAAAAGGAACCCTTCTATGTCGTTAGGAATGTAAACTAGCATAATTACTGTGGAAACCAGTATGAAAATTCCTCAAAAAACAAAGCTAGAAATTCTATTTGAACCAGCTATTCCACTTCTAGGTATCTTCCCCAAAGATTTAAAGACATCATGTTCCAGTGATACATGCATACCCATGTCTGTAGCAGCACAACTCCTAATAGCTACATCTTGGAAGCAGCCTATATGTCCACCAACTAAGGCATGAATACAGAAAATGTAGTGTTTATACACAACAGAGTACTACTTTTCCATAAGTAAATATAAATTGGAATACTTTGTTGGAAAATTGATGCATCTTGAGACCATAATGCTAACTGAAATAAATCAGACACACATGCTTAAATATGGTATGAATTTTCTTATGAGAACCCGAAGTATAAATAAAATCCAAAATGAAAGACAGATAATAGGAAACAGGGAGATAGATCTCTTGCAAATGGAAGAGGGCCAAGAAATGGAGGGAAGAAGGGTAACGGAAGGGAAAAGAAAGAGATATAAAAAACATTAAGGTGTGTTAGGCTGGGCATGGTGGTGCACCCCTGCAATCCCAGTACCTGGGAGGCTGAGGCATAAAGATCACTGTTGAGTTTGAGGCTACTTTGGGGTATATAGTAATTCAAGGCCAGCGAGACTCTTGTCTCAAAAAAACAAAAAAAAGACAAGAAGAATTGAGATGTGTTATGTACATGTACCAACTCCCCACAATGAATGTAAATATTATGTATTACAAACATGTACTAATAAATTTATTTTTAATGTTAAAGGTCAATCAATTTCAACCTAAGGAGGATTTTACTGCCTCTTCTCCCTGGTCACAAAAACAATGTTAGGTTGGAAGGAGGAGAAACTGAGTCAAATTCTTAGGAATCAAATTCTGTCCCTTGCTCCTGGTCCATTTTACTTTGCATTTGACTCAGGTATCCACTTGCTTGGTTCCTACCCACCTCCCCCAGCACCATGTGTTGCTGAGGATGAGGAAGTCTGGGCTTGGAATCATATGCTTTTACCTGATAGAGTCCCTGCAGTCCCTGAAACTGCTCAGGGGAAAAATGTGAGCAAGAAATCCACCAAGGCAAGCCCCAGGCAGGGAATGGGGCAGGAAAGAGCTGGTCCCCAGGGGATACAAAGGAATGTTTGTCACACAACTTTTAGACAGCACTGAGTCAGGAAGGGAGGGCTTGTAGAGCAGAGTCACCCTGGCAGGGTTGCCACACAAGGCTGGAAGGGACACAGGCTGCAGCCAACACGTCAGAGGCAGAGGAAGGGAGTGGGGACCCAGGGAGGTGAGTAACAGGTGCTACCCAGCACCAAGGTGTCATTCCCAAAGTCAAGGAGTTGAGTTTTTCTTCCAGATGAGACTGAGACTGAACTAGCGGCCCAGAGCAGCGATGACATGCTCTACTGTGAGGCCGAAGCTCCCACCACTGTTGTAAAAGAGAAACCCACCTGGGAGGATTCAGAAACAGACCTGGAGATCGAAGGTGAGAGTGGGCATCTGGGGACAGAGTGGCCGGCTCATCAGTTCCCTCAGAGCTGGAGAAATCTGGTTCCATTCAGCAGGCTGTGCGGCAGGGGACCATGGTAGAGGCCTGTGCATGATTCTATAGCACATCCGCCAGGCGGGCTGGAGTGGAGTGTCCCATATCAGCTTGTTAAAAGCTGAACTAACACCAGGGTTTTTCTGTCTGAAGCATTTCCTCATGTGGAATCCAGTGTGATTTCTCCCCAGTCCCAGAAAGGACTTTTTCAGGATAGGAAACTGAGGCTTAAAGAGCTTGTGTGAGCTGCCGAAGGCCAGCAGAAGCCAGCCAAGCCATGTTGGCTGAGCCCACAGCCACCCTGATCTGCCCTCCGTGTCCAGTATTCTGGGGACAGTGGAGTATCTCTGTGGCCCATCTTGCAACCTGATGATTCTGTAATCACCTTAGAGCTCTCTTGTCCCCTACTCAGGAAGCCTATGACAAATCTAAGCCAGCTGAGCTGAGCAAAGTCTCTGTTGCACACAACACCTCTGTCTTCTCCCACACACACACCTGGTTCCCCAAGGCGGGAAGTGCCGAAGGAGCATTTGTGAAGCAGGAGAGGACACTGCTGGTCCATTTAGGTGGGACCAGCCTCGGGCTGCCCAGCTCATACTTCCTGCTGATACCCTTGTGCTTAGGCGAGAGGCAGTGAGTCACAAGCATCAGAGACCGAGGGGAGATGATTTGACCTTAAAATTAAACTGTGACACTTATGAACACAGACAGAGTCAGCTTATAAAACCTCCCCACCACAGTAAACATACAACTCCCCTCCTACGCACACCTGCCAGCTGCCCCCAGACAGTCTATGATCTCTTTCTGACCTTCCATCCTCTTCAAGGTTGTCACTAGTGCTGCTTTCAACATCTGATTTTACGTGGTGGATGGAGGTGGCAGAGGACGACACTGGATGTTTTGTTCAAGGTTCCTGCTCCTGTCTTGTTCCTCCTCACTCCCTCATCCCCAGCAAGTGACCACACACTGAATATAGCTAGAAAGGGTTGGCATGAGGATCAGAGTAGAATTGGTCCCAAGGATGAAACAGGGGCTGCCTTACACCACCACCTCCAGTCCCCGGAATCTCTAATGGCTGCAAAAGCTGTCATGAGCAGAAACTTGGAGCTCAGCTTCGCTGGCTCCTGGTGCCCTGCCACTGGTGCTGAGACGCTGGGAAGGGGCAGGAGGGCTTCCTAATGAGAGCAGTGCCCTGGAGGTGAGCCTGTAGAAGCTGGGCAGATGGACACAGCTTTGCTCACACACAGGCTGTCTCCCTTTCGACAGTGTTCTTGCCCGGATGCAAATGTACATCCCAGGGGGCATTTGGCAAACTATGGGGTGAAGGACTACTAATGGCACATGGAGGGTACAGGCCAGAGAATCTTACTAAACAGTCCACAATATATAGGACAGACCCTCACAGCAGAGAAGTTTCCAACTAAAAATGTCAGCAGTGCTGATGCTGAGGAAGTTTGCCATTGACTATTCTAAAAAGATATTGCTGTCCTGACCAAACTGGCTTCCATGTAAGGTTGTCCTTTCCCCAGCAAAGCTCCCATCTGCATTCAAAATGTTGAGTGTAGGTTGGCCAAAGGCCCTGGGATCTGAAGGACAAACAGATGCTCATATAGATGCCAGCTGGCCATAGGAAGCTTGGCTAGTGATTGGACTTGTCTAGTGGGGACCAGCCTCACAACCAGGGAGGTCCAGTGCTTGCTGGCCATGAACCAGGCTGCTCTAAAGTCTAAGGAAGAAAGGACCCAAGAGGTGGAAATGAAGAGGTAGAGCCCCTTTTTCTGTAAGCTGGCTTTATCTTGGTCACCTGTGTCATTTGGGGCTATATCTGTCACTGGGGAAGAAGAGATGATAGCAGGATGCCCGCCCAGGTGCATTTGGTTTTATCTGTCTGACTCTGATTTATCATCTTGAGATGGGCATTCTGGCCCATATGGGCTTTTTCTTGATACTTATCTACTTTGGCAACACTCTATTCATAGTGATAGCAAAACTGAGACTGAAGCAGAGACTCCCTCAACCATGAAGAGTCTCCAAGCTGGACACAACAGCACACACCTGTAATCTCAGTGCTCTGAGAGGCTAAGACAGGAAGATTGCAAGTTTGAGGCCAGCCTGGGTCACCTAATGAGACTCTCTCAAAAAAAAAAAAATCATAAAAAGGGATGGAAATGTGGCTCTGTGGTAAAGTACCCAGAGTTCAACCCCTAGTATCAGTAAAAGAAAATTTTTTAAAGTCCCCAGCTTTGTGCCTACTGTCTTTACCTTTTGGGATCATCCCAGCGTGGCAGGAGGCAGGGCCTCCGGATAGCCCTGGTGATGAGCCAACCTGGGAGGGTGGGATGAGGGTGCACCTCTCATCTCTGCTAGGAGGGGCCTAAAGCCAGAGGCCTTACATCTTACCCAAAGGGAGACTTCCATTTAGGGTTATCCGGGGTTAGTGTCTCCCTCTCCTGCCATTGGGTAACTGTAGGATTGGTGGTTGCTTCAAGAGCATATATACCCACAGGGACAGATCCCTGACAGAGGAAACTCCAGTCAGAGATGAATATTGCCTGGTGCTAAAGGGAAGATAATGCAAAGCCAACTTCATCCTGTCTTTCTCTATAGATACTGAGAGGTCCTTCACCACTGGACAAAGGGAGCTCTACCTGGAGGCCTGCAAACTGGTGGGGGTGGTGCCTGTCTCTTACTTCATCCGGAACATGGAAGAGCCCTACATGAATCTCAGCCACCATGGTTTGGGCCCCATGGGTACCAAGGCTATTGCTATAGCCCTGGTGGTAAGCATGCTTGGGGGAGGCAACACATGGAACCTGGATGATTGACAAAGTGGCAGGCCCAAGATTCAAAGGGTCCCCTTTTGGAGCCTAGAAGAGCAACTGTTGTGCCCATCTGCCCTGTGTTCTGCTTGGGGGCCAGCTGATTTCCCCCAGTGAGCATGTACTCCCCTTAAGCTCTATGAAGCAGGCTAATAGGAACCTGGACCTCGGGCCCCTTCAGAAAGCAAACCCCCAGTCTGTGGGCCCAGGGCAAGGGCCTGGGTTGAAACTGGGCCTAAGGGTTCATGCAAAAGCCTCCCCCAAGATTGCCAGAATCTTTATGTTTATGTTCCCTTGTTAAATGTATCCAGGCTGCCTCCATCTTGCAATAGGTAATAGTCCTTCTTCCTTGAAGCTCCATGGTTACAATCTGTTTAGCTCATCCTTGTGGCTCTTTCTTTCTTTTAATTGATTGATGGCCCTCTTCCAGATTCTCCCAGAAAAGCACGCTGTCCCAGCGCAACTCCCCGCGACGGCTTATCCTCGGCACCAGTCCTCTCCACTCCCTCAGCGCTCTTAGCCTACAACTCCAAACCTCCTGTATTAGTCCATTTTCCCTTAACAATATACTTGAAGCTGGGTAACTTTAGACAGAGATTTACTTAGCTCACTACACTCAAGGGCATGGTACTGACGTTAGCTTGGCTCTGGGCAAGGCCACTTGGAGGCTGGCATCACCATGGCAGAGCGCATGTGAGAGGGAGGATGACCTGAGAGTGGGAGACACAGGGAAGGGTCAGTGATGACCTTCCACCAGGCTCCACCTCTTAAATTCCCGTTAACTCTTAAATGGCCACTTCGGGGAATAAGCCTCCTACACGTGACCCCTTGGGGCACAGCCACAGCCAAGCCACAGCACCTCTCCAGTAACTGGGGTGTTCAAGAGAGAGGACCAGTTCTGAACAGCAGTGGGCAAGGACTGACCAGGTCACCAACCGCTTCTCCTTTCTCTTGCGGTGGCTGAAGTCTAACACAGCTATCATCGGGCTGGAGCTGGAAGATAACTGCATCATGGAGGAGGGCGTCCTGAGCCTGGTGGAGATGCTGCACGAGAACTACTATCTCCAGGAGCTGGTACTGCGCCTGCCCCGCTGCCTCGTCCCACCACCCCCTCAAGCCAAGCCACAGTCCCCTGCCAGGCCCAGGTCAGCCCTGGGGTGTCTGCCCCCGGTCTGCAGGCTCCTGCCCTCTGGAAGTGACTTCTCAAGGAGGGCCTTGTACCAGAGATTGGCTGGGAATCTGTGTTCCCTGTAGCTGCAGAAAACCCTAACACCCTAATGGTGTTTCCACGGAAACACCACTCTATCTCACTGTCACTCCATGCTGCTTATGGTGTTTATCAGCCCCTAAATGGATATACTCACCTCTGCACAGTTGCCTTAAAGTGAACTTTCTTAAAGGAAGTAAAGGCATGAAATAATTTCATAAAATACAACATACCTGGAGACAGACGCTGGTCATGGTTGTGAAACAATAGGAATATTTTTTAATGCCAATAAACTGTGCACATTAAAATGGCTAAGATGGTAAATGTGTTATATGTATTTTACCAGCATAGAAATTTTAAGAAGGAGAGGAAACCAGGTAAGACAACACTGGCTGGCTTATATAAGGTCTCTCCCACTAGCCTGATAGGACTGTGTCAGAGTTTATCCCTACTTGTCCCTAGCGTGGGATCATCCTTTGTGAACTGGTGAATGGAATTCACAGTGTTCGCTGAAAGCTCGCTCTTTAACTGTTTCATGCCAAAGTCACACTCTCCAAATGAAGCTGCTTTGTGTGCAAAACAACACAGTGTGCCCATTGAAGTACCAGGGCTGACCTGGTTGGAGGTGAGGAGTCACTGAACCAACATCAGCAGCACTGAGGTCTCACGACAGGCGTCAGAGAAGCTAGACAGGGCCTGGGTTTCCTGCCTCCCTTCTGTCGTTCTTTCCTGTGACCCTAATCCTTCTAATCCTTCTACTTAGCCCTGTCCCCCAGCCCCACCCGGCTCCCTGGGTAAGCCCACCCCGCCCTCATTTGTTAGCGAGGGCCCTTTGCTGGGATTCATATATACACAAGTGTGTTCTTGCCTTTTAGAATATTTCCGACAATGACCTGGGTTTGGAGGGAGCCAAGATCATCGCAGACTTCCTCCAGAGAAGCATTTCTTCGCTCTGGAAACTTAAGCTTTCAGGTGAGAACACAGACCTGAAGGGAGAGAATCCTCTGAGAGAACGGGAGAAGCAAAGCAGAGAAAACCCAGAATCTAGTTGAACCAGACCAGCTCTCTCTGGTCTCAGAGAGCAGAAGACTGCATCTTCCTCCTGCTACACATTCATTCTCCTTTCTCCGCAGCTGCACTGGCTTCCTGCTTTCCTCAACATGCCACTCTGACCTGCTTTGTGACCCTCTGTCCTCTGCTTGAACATCTCCACCCGCAGACGTGTGCATATGGCTCACGTGGCCTCCTCTCTTCACTCATGGCTCTGTTCAAATGCTGTCTCCTTGGTGGGACATTCCACGGAAACACCACTCTATCTCACTGTCACTCCATCCTGCTTATGGTGTTTATTCCACCTGATCCTCTGTTATATATGTATTTTGAAACTAGTTCATTACCAATGTTACATGGGAGGGAACCTCAAGAGAATTCTACCCACAGACTTGCCCTCATTCAGGTTTGCAAGTTCATGCTACCTGCAGAGTCCTGGAACCTCTAAACCAAGAAAGGAACATAAAAAATGGTCTTGTGCTGATAAGAATAGGACCCTTTTGGAGGACTCAGGTTCTTGGGATTCCCACAAGTAAAGCCTATGAGTTTTGGCTCATAGTGCAAAAGTGCAAAGCAAACACGAAAACACAAGAGCTGTCAGACTCAACAAGCAATAGGATCGAACCTTGAGAACTTCCGGAAGTGGAGTTGGCAGGTTCAGATAAGCAATGGGGTGACCGTGTAACTTATCACCCAAACTGAGTAGGGGCAACATTCATAACCGAGACTGTAGGCAAGTTGAGATATAGTATACCCAACTATCAAATGTGTTTGCTGTGATTAAAGACATAAAAAACCATGCAAGGTAAAACAGAGGAGAGCAAATCACTATTTTTAAAAAGGCTTTTCCTCCCCTCAACCTTATCAAGAAATAGAAAACAGGTAGTTTCTGAAATTAAAGATTCGATGGATAAATTCAACAACATATTAGATACAAGTGAATAGAATTAGCAAAAATCCTATTTTATCTACTCTCAGCATAGACAGATAAAATTTAAAGAATATAAAAGATGAAATAATATGAAAAATGAATAGATTTGGTGCAGCTAGTAGGAGCTCCAAAACAAGAGCAGAATGAGTACAGTGATATTTGAGTAAGTAACAGCTAACACGCTTCTTGAATTGATGAACTCTCAGATACAGAAATCCTAGTAAGTCCTAAGAAAGGTAAATAAAAAGAAATCCACAGTCTGATCTATCACTGAAAAAAAGCACTTAAAATACAGAGAAGGAGGTTGGGCATGATGGCACTTGCCTATAATCCCAGCACTTTGGAGGCTGAGGCAGGAGGTTCACCACGAGTTTGAGGCCAGCTGGGCTACATAGAGGCACTGTCTCAAAAATAAAATAAAATAAAATACAGAATCAGGCACTGAAATACTTAGAATATGAAGAAGATTATGCATTCTCATAATCTTAGTACTCTGAGAGGCTGAGGCAGGAGGTTTATAAATTTGAGCCCAGCCCAGGCAACTTAGCAATTCATTGACATCCCATTTCAAATTTTTTCAAAAACTTTAAAAAGGGTCAGGGGTGTAGTTCAGTGGGGAGGCTCTAAATTCAATCCCTAGTACAAAAGAAAGGAAGGGAGGAAAGAATAAAGGAAGATGAAATGGAGAAGATATTATAAATATCTAGAAGACATACATTTAATAAAAATGTTATTACGTGTCAGGTATTATTCTCTAATTTCTCTAAGAAGAGGGAAACTAGTTTGAGTTTCTTGGATTTCTTTTTTTTGGGGGGGGGGGTTGGTTCTTTTGTTTGTTTTTTGTTTTTTGAGACAGGGTCTCACTCATAGTGTTCAGGCCGGTCTTGAACTCACTATGTAGCCCAGGCTGGTCTCAAACTCATAGCAATCCTCCTATACCTCCACATCTCAAATGTTGAGATTATAGGAATGTGCCACCACCCCCAGCCTAGAGTTCTGTCTGTGAAGAACAAATAGGATTATCTCATTTTCTGGGTAGTATTTCACGTTCTGGATATAGCAGTTTATTTAACATCCCTATACCTGGGGAGAACTTCAGTCATTTCCAACTTTTCAACCTTTCAATTACTGTTTTAACATGCATCTTGAAAATTCATCTTTTAAAGGACAGATGTTGGGGGCTGAGGATTTAGCTCAGCAGCACAGCACCTGCCTGGCAAGTGCAAGGTTGTGAGTTCGATTCCCAGTACCGGAAAAACAAACAAACAAACAAAAAAAAGGACAGATGTTCTAGCATTTCTAGATAGTCACCAGGAGTATAGTTACTGAATGCAAAGATTATCCACTTCTGTGGAGTTAAAAATTGATTTCCAAATTTCTACTTAAGAAACATGTACCAGGTTATAATTCTGCCAAAGGACCATCTTCCTATACTGTCCCCAGAAGAGTTATTAGCAAGATGTTTGTGAATCAAATGGTTCAGTGTGGGACTATTGAAGTCACAGTGCTGGGCTCCAAAATCCCAGAGTTGAAACCAGGCAAGTTAGTTAACCCTTTTGGGCCTCATTGTTCTAAGAGCAATTTTATTACTCATCTCAGACAGTGATTATGAGGATTAAGTGAATTAAAAGCTAAAATGCCTTTTAAAATCAAGCATAAAAATATCAATAATATTAGTTACTATTATTATTATCATCATTATATTTCCACATTACTATTAAATTGATGAACTATGGAATAGATGCTCGATATAGTATTGAAAAGAACATCTTTTCAATTTTTTTAGAACATCTTTTCAGACACTTGTTTGCTCTCTTTTCTCTTCTATGAAATGTCAATTGTAATGTATCATTGTTTGTAGAGCAGAATGTTAAACATTCCTTCTAAGCTACAGATATTCATACTTGAAGGTCAGATAAAGATAGGAAAGTTAAAGGAGATGGTAAACAGTTTCTCCTATTTTCTCGTGTCTACACATTTGCTTTTAAATTCTTGTCATCCTTTCTGTGACTGGTTGTTCTGTAGGTAAGAGAATTGATAGGGCTATAGCATGATCTTCAGTGAATTATTAACACAGCACCCTCATTACAGGAAATAACTTCAAAGAGGAATCTGCAGCTCTCTTAAGCCACGCCCTGTCGGTAAGGGGTAGGGAGTGCAGCTGAGTCATATGGGAATGTTCCTGAGGGCTTGGGTGAGCTGAGGACTGCTCTGGCATAGTGAAACAAGGCCACTGGCATGATTTAGGAAGCTGATGAATGTTTGGCCTCCGCCAACTCCAGCAAAAGTATCAGCAAGTGGTAGGACTTTCAGGATGGCAACAAATTTTCCCAGTAGCCATCAACTATTAAACAAAAAGTTAGCCGGGCATGGTGGTGCAAACCTGTAATCCCAGCACTCGGGAGGCTGAGGCAGGATGACGTTGCAAGTTCAAGGCCAACCTGGGCTACAAAGTGAGCTCAAGGCCAGCCTGAACTGCATAGTGACACCCTGTCTCAAAAAGACAAAAAAAAAAAAAAGTTAACAAATTGTTAACTTTAGCATAGGTAATGTAGCTCAGTGGTAGAGTGTTTGCCTAATATGTGTGAGGCCCTGAGTTCAGTTCCTAGCACTGTAACAACAACAACAAAAAAAAAATGGTAAGGCTGGAAACAAAGATTGCTTTAGATTGTTTTCAGCCTACAAACCCTAGTCCGCCTAGTTTTGGGTACCTGAGAGCCCTCCAGCGTACTTCACTGGCATAAGTGGAGAAGAGATTTACAGTCAAAAGAAAAAAATAATCTCTTTTTCCCATTTTTTCCTGTAGTCCAATTACCGAATTAAGAAGCTGAATCTCAGTCACAATGAATTCTCTGACAAAGGAGGGGAATACCTGGGTCAGATGCTAGGTATGTTCCCTTGGAGGGAAGGGAACCAACAAAGGGGAGGGGCTGGGGGAAGATCATTTATCAGTGCTGAATCTTCTTTTATTTTTAAATTATTTTTAAATGTTCATATTATAAAAAGTGCTGTACACCATCCCCAAAATACATTTTAATGAAGCAACACTTAAATGTGAGAAGTAAACTTTTCCAGTGATTAGAAGAACATACAGAGATACAACTTGCTGACCTGAAGGAGTCCAAGGATCATTCTGTGTGGCACGTTGGACATGAATGGTAACAAAACAATTCATGAGTGTTGTGATGCACAGCTGTTGTTCCAGCACTAAGGAGGCTGAGGCAGGAGGATCACCACGAGCTCAAGGCCAGCCTAGGCTATATAGTGAGTTCAAGGCTGGCCTGCACTGCATAGTAAGACCCTGTCTCAAAAAAAAAAAAAAATTCATATGTTTGACAACAATACATTAAAGTTTGTGTATGGTAAAGACACCATGGACAACCTTAAAACTAGCAACAGACAAGGAATGGTATTAGTATAAATATAAAAAATTAATGTTAAGATTATTGATAAAAGATGCTATAGATCATCAGCTACAGTGACATGCACCTATAGTCCCAGCTTCTTTGGAGGCTGAGGCAGGAGAATTGTGAGTTTGAGGGCAGCTTGGGAAACATAGGCTTCATAGCAAGACCCTGTCTGTAAAAAAATCTATAAACCAATTAGAGAATAATATATGCTCCTAATAAAAGAATAATCAAGGCATATGGACAATGAAAGAAGAAAGCCAACTGCTCAACCTCAGAAATAAAGAAATGCAAAATAAAACAACAAAAAGACTCCCCTCATCCTCTGTCAAAGCTGCAGGTTTAAAGTCAGTGACTATCAAATGCTGCAGGTGGAAGGAACAACTACTCCCAAGGTGCTAGATAAAGGCTCTGTGGAGAAGGACTGGGTGGGACCTAGTGGAATGGAAACGCGTCCATTCTGTGGAGCCGCATTCTGCTTTACACCTCTCAGGGATGCCACTGCAGAACAGCTGCCCTCGCCACATAGAAACAACACAATATGCTGTGTCTCCCAGCCCTAGGGAGCACACAAGCAAAATCACCCTCAATTAAAAAAAAGTGTGATCTTCATGCAAACTCAGATCCCCAACGAGCCTGACACCTCCCACCTCCAGCTGACTGTGCCTGAGGCTGCCCGGGAGAAAGTTCCAGTGTCACTATCGCCTCCGTGGCTCTCCATACGAAAGACACTGTGTGGTGTGGTACACTACGTCCATAAAGACAACCCGGGAGTTGTTTCCCATGCTACCTGCATTTATTTTAATGGCTGTATAATAATCTACCAGGTGGATGTGTATGAGTCACTGATGGACCTTTATTAGTAAAACATACAAGTCTAGAGCCATGTCTTCTCAGGCAGTCTCAGGTGTGTGAGAGGGCACGCACATTTTAATGAGAAAATATCTGTGATCACATAATATTTGCCACATAGATTATGCCAACTTACTTGCCACCTGTGATAATGTGATCTTTCCTAGCACTGGGAATCACCTTACCATTTTGTGTTTGAATGAATAACTGAAAATTGTTGCCCGAGTGTTTTATTTTGCAAGCCCGCTGAGCAGTCCTGAGAACGCTGAGGCTGGGTTCTTCAGATGTGAGGAGTGCTGAGCTGACCCTCTCTCCCTCCCAGCCCTCAATGTAGGGCTCCAGTCGCTGGATCTGAGCTGGAATCACTTCCACATTCAGGGAGCTATGGCCTTGTGCAGCGGTCTCCGGGTAAGGAGCTCTCTGAGAGGGGTGCGTTGAGCCTGGGTGAGGACAGCCAGGGCCTCCCATGCCACCATCTTGACTTGCTGCTCACAGCCACCATTGATGAGGGCACACTGAACACCCACCAGATGCTGAGTTGTTGGTCTCCCATAATTCCTGCCTCTGTATTACCTGTTATATAAATCCCACCTGCTGAGGCCTAGGAGGCATCTTTAGGAAACTGTCCAAGTTACCAAGAGGCCAGTTTAACTGAAGAGCAGGAAATGATGAGAACCAAAAGGAAGCAGTCTCAATACACTGAGACTCTGAGCCCAGCTGGGAAGGATCTGGATGGCTCAGGCCGACCTGTCTCTCCCAGAACCACTGAGAGCTCAGTCTGGACACACTGAGAAGTTGTAGAAGTTGGGGCATTTGGAGGGGTGAGTCACACATGACCTTGATGCTCGTGCTGCTTCCCCTCCCCGGAGACTAATGTGACCCTGAAGAAACTGAATCTGTCCATGAATGGCTTTGGGAATGAAGGGGCACAGGCCCTCGGGGAAGTCCTCAAACTCAACAGCTGCCTGACCCATGTGGATGTCAGTGGCAATGACATCAGCAACGAAGGGGCCTCCAAACTCAGCAGGGGACTGGAGTACAATGAAACCCTCCAAGAGCTGAAGGTAGTCTCTCCTTGAACTGTGTGTGTGTGTGTGTGTGTGTGTGTGTGTGTGTGTGTGTACATCTGCGATGGAGTGGGGGCAGCAAGGCGATAGGGCTGGTGCTGCTGGAGGGGGTTGTCAGGAATATCCATCTTATACTTCCTGGGTGCCTCTATTTATGTCCCTCTCTCTGCCGTGGACCCAGCACCACCTCAGGTCTCTCTGGGGTGCCCCAGCTGTCTCCTAACTGGTCTTTCTTCCTCCCAGCTGGTATCTCAGGTTTTCCTCCACACTGACAGTGAGTATGCTCTGAGAACACAGTCTGCCTTCTGTTCCCCACCACCACCTGCCATCTTCCACCCAAACCCTCTGGAGCCCCCAGTTGCCCAGATCCAGTTCTCTGGTCCCTGGGAGCCTCTCTTGCTGCAGTCTACCTTTGCTTTCCACCCAAGGCCTCCTGGTCTTCCCTCCTTTCTTCCCAGCACAGAGGCTTGGCCTGCCATTCCCCTCCCTTGCTTTAATAGCTGCTCTGCTGCAGGGCACGGCTCACCCAGCTGTTCCACAGAGAGCCTGCTGCATCTCCCATCTAGGTGGCCCATTCCCAGGGCCCTGCTACCCCTTCAGGCAGAACCTGCTACCCTCTCTACTTGTACTCTCATTTGAGTGACTATTTGATTGTCCATCATCCCACTTGTGTGCCAGCTTCATGAGAGCAAAGACTGTGTCTGACTTGGCCCATTATTGTACCCTCATACCTAGCTTTGTGCTGGGTATGTAGTAGACGCCCAGTGAATACATGCTGCGTGGATGGATGGATGAATTCAATTTGAATTAATATGCTTGTACACACTGATGTGTAACATAGGTGCTGGGCAGCTTGAGACAGATGAAAGAGGAGGGCTTCCAGTAAGGGGGCCCCTCTGGGGCTCCTGCCACACCCAGAGCCAGGGGAGGTGCTGCATCACTCACAGCCCAGACTAACAAATTGGGCTCTATCAGCTCCACTAGTCAGATGAGAAAACTGAGGCCACATGACTCGCACAGGCCACACAACTAGCAAAGGGCAGAGAGTATCTAGCTCCATCTGGCTTTCTATAGCAGCTCGAAATTCCTCAAAAAGTAGGGGTAAGTAGGGGGACAATAGATGTGAGGGCCTTTGTGGTAGGAGAATGGACAACTAGATGCAGTGAGGAGAAGCCTGCCATCCAAGAGGACCACTATGACCTCAGAGGCTGTGAATACTCAGCCTCAGTGCCCAGTGACACCAAGGAGACTTCTGAGAACCTAAACTGAATAAGACTAAGAAGTTGCCCCAAATTGGATGTGGTGGCATACATCTGTAATCCTAGCTATTTAGGAGGCTGAGGCAGGAGGATTGTAAATTTAAGGCCAGCCTGGGCAACTTTATGAGACTGTATCTCAAAATAAATTAGGACTGAGAATGTGGCTTAGTGGGAGATCACTTGCCTACCATATTCAAGGACCTGTGTTTAATTCCCAGTACTGCAGATTGAGAGGGGGGCGGGGGAAGAGAGAGAGAGAAAGAGAGAGAGAGGGAGGGAGGAGAGAGGGAAGAGAGAAAGAGAGGAGAGAAAGAAAGATGCTTCGGCAAAATGACAATAGAAATTGCCCCTGATTACTTGGGTGGCTTAAAACTTTTTTTCTAGTCTTTCCACAATAACCCCAGTTAATACACTTTAATTTTTAAAATACTATAAAGTGAAAGAGAAAAGTAGAAAACAAAATTCTTAGTTGGCTCACATCAACTTTGCCACAGGAAATATCTAGCATTCTCCACATCCAGTCACAACTCCCCTTTCCCTAATCTGGAGAAACTAAGAAATCCCCTTTGGGACATGAACCCCACAGAGGCTCTAGATGCTAAGCTCCAAGGCAGTGGGGCTCCAACTGGTATTTCCCCGCTGGAGTGCTTCAGGGCCTGAGAAATACCTGACATATAATGGTACTTAATGAACGTTTTAGCCTCCTTCTGCACGAAACCACCAGTGAAAGCCGTCAGTAATAATAGCTTCTGCTCTCTGACTGCTTTCTGTGTGGCAAACACTCTTTCAGTGCTTTACCTGGATGTGTTTAATCATAGGAGCTGCACTGCCACAGTAATAGGTACAGAGTGGTCAGGAAATTACCTGTCACTGCAAAGCCAGGCATTGTGTAAGCAGAGCCACTAAGCTCCATATTCCCTGACTCTATCTGTGCTTCAGTGGCTTTCAGCATCACGGGATAATGTCCTAATTCCTCAGCTAAGCCAACAAGGTCCTCTGTGACACAGCCCACCCCAACTCTGTGCCCTATCTCCCTACTCCTGCTTATAGAATGGGTGCTGTCACCCAGACACTCACATTATTGAGAACACCTGTGCACTGGCCTACTATTTACTTTTCTGAATCTTTTTCCTCCTCTCATCCTGCCTCCCCTTTCTTCAGACCTGCTTAATCCCATTAGGCTAGCAAGGCTAAGCTCAGTGATCAGGTCCCCTTCCTTCCCTTGCTCCTGCAGTACCTTTGTGTCCCTCTGTCACTGCTTTCATCACATTTCTGATGCTGTTTACTTGTTTGCCTGTCTCCTCCAACTCAGCGCACTGAGTTACCTGAGGACAGGAACCCATGTCTGTCTGCACATCCCTCAGTGGCTCTCACATGGCAGTC